CTTGTGTGTTAAATATTTAACAATATTTTATATTTGTTCTATAATTGCATAGTTTAGATTGAACACTATAAATAATAATTAGCCAGTGCAACACATTTTATTTTAAAACTAAGAAATAAAAATTCCTTCCTTTACTAGTGATATTTATGGATAAACACTCCACATTTCAACCAGTAAAAACGCTTATACCATTGCCAAGACTTCACACATTTATGTAAATTCGTATCTTACATAGCAATAGTTCATTATCTAAAGCTAAGAAGTGTCAGGATAAGATAAGCAAGTACTTATCTAACCCTAAGGGACTTAGAAAAAAAACAACACAAAAAGTTTGTTTACTCTGCAGGTAGTTTCGTTTGAAGCTTGCTAGAGAATATTGTGTTTAGATTTTACTTTTACCCTACACAAAGTTTAAAACCACTAAAATAATAAGTATATATATAAGTTTGTATTTTCTATGAAAAATTCGTTTTTTATAAACAAAAAAGAACACAAGAAACGTATAGATAGAACAAAAATCGACTTTAAAAACTTAATTTGATTTACAGCTGAAGGAAAAGAGGACTTTGGGAAACCGAAATAATATACATATACACGCTAGGTATATAATATGTATATTCTTTCACCCCATTTCATCACTAACTCCATATTAAAGATCACAGAGCTTCAATTTTCAACCAACGTTATGAAATCTGTTACAATATCTTTGTAGATTTTACAACTGAAAGTTATAATAGTGTTTCTAGTAACTGAAAGGTCATGTTTAGCAGTTCATTACCACTTGCATTACGTTGGTACAATTATACATAATCACAGTAAAACGAATATCGCTTGCGCGTGTTGCCAACTCGGCGATAGTAGTTGTTCAAATCAACAGTTTGCTATGTTAAAGAAAAAAATTATTTAAGAGGGTTAGGCGTTTGTGGCCGTACGTTTTTAAAGTAAACACACATAACCTTAGGGGCATTGCTTCGCTAACATTAGTGGCCAAACAGATGTGTGAGATGTTTGTTTAGGCAACTCGTTAACGATATCGGACGATGCTTTGAACCTTCAAGGATTTTTATATTTACACGTGAATTGTATGAAAATATTAATAGGTCATAATTGTATAAAGAAAACGCAAGATATCGCGGATAATGTCTATACTTATTGCTCGGACATTATTTCAATATAATAAGCCAGATAAATGGGATAAATAACCGTATTATATATCACCATCAAGGTATAATCCCGTCAAAGTATAATAATATTAGTAGTCACTGCTTATCTGTGGTAATATGTATATACAGTATAGTATAGTATATATACAGTGCCGGTTTTAGAGGTCTGGAGGGCTCGGGGCATCAAAGTTCTTCCACGCCTTTGGGCAACAAAGACCCAAAATTATTATCCAAATAAAATGTTTGTTTAAATAATAATATTTCGTAACAAAGTACAGATTTTTTTATAATTAAAGTATCTTTTGTAGGGGCCTTGTAGTCCTGGTTGCCCTAAATTGGGTATGTAGATACTAAAAAGGCCTAGGCCTAGACGAACTATATCCCAATTAGTAGCCAAATTGGTTAGTAGCTTCCTATATTTTTTGGAATAATTCAAAACGGAGGGTGCATGTGTCATGTGCATTTATTTACCAGTGCTGGCGAAGTTCCAGACAACTAAAATAGCTGGCGATGTCATTGTACTAAAAGGAAGCCCTATATCCCTTTGTCGTTGATGCTTCTTTAATCAACGCTTGCGGAAATTTTTGCCTTGTTCTCGTACCAATTTGGGTGATTGTGGAATTCTCCAGAAGTCCAATTTTTTGTCCGAAAGAAAGATTTTACTAAAGATATTATGATATATTTAAAAAAAATATATACAACTCGATATTTTAAGTGTGTCTATTGTGTAAGTTGTAACATATCAAAAAGGACGTCTCGCGTCTGTCCATATGAACGCAATAAACTACGGAAGGGACTTACGTACGTTGTACGGTTTATTAATAATACACAGTGTGATTACTGAATAAGCTTTAAGTGGCTTAGGTCTTCATGTAAATTTACTGACAATTATTGTAGAAGAGGTCACAAAAAATCTTGCCAAAGAACCCGCAATCAACGCGGAATAATTAATCTGTTACTACTATTACAGTTTTGATACAAATTTCTTAAAATAAATCCTTTTAAACTACGCAATACATTTATTGCGATTATTCTCAACAGAGTAAAAATATGCATATATTTCTACAGTAGTATATATTATTGTTAGTACATATGGTTGTTTTATTTTTCTATGCAGTTAGATTTAGGATTATCTGTTCAATCAAATACGTTTATCGCGAAGTATTTATTCATTTTAAAACGAGTATATTCGATAACATAGCGTGTTCTTTCTTACTATTATCACCTATAAATACACATTTATGTATCTTATATAAACATGTACAAAATTATCACTGATATTTATAATATGAAAAAGTCTTATGTTTGTAATATATTTTAAAACTATACATTTTACATTATAAACCGAACAATATTTTATTTCTTGTAGGTACTCTAAAGAAACATTTCTATGGTCGCTAATATTTTAACAAAAGAAAAACGAAAAACAGATTCCTTGTTCGATGTTTTTGTTTATAGATATGGCCTACTTAATAACAGCATGGATTCAATCTAAATAAACGAATACAATTCAAATTCCGCGCCAAAATGTAAGTCAGAATTATTCTGTTTAAAAAAAGAACAATATTTGAATTTGGAACTATAAACAATTCTCGATACTTTTTTGATAGAATATACGCTATTACCACTTTAACTTTTTTACCCTGAGTGTACATAAGTAAAACTATATTAATTTGAAACCATACAAATTTTTCTTTTCTTCAGAACGTGTAAAAATATAAATAGAAAAACTATGGAATATGCCTGTACCACATCATAGTTACGAAGGCAAAAAGCGGGACGAACCGTGAGCCCTTTTTAGTCTTATACTCGAAATAAATTTCGAAAGGAAACGTGATTCCCTCCAAGGTCAACCAAATTAGTATTCGTATGTGTTCGTTTGACCGGACGCAAAAACTTGTTAATATGCGACTTGACGAATTTTTTCTAACAATAAGCCTAGAGCGATACATCGAAGGTTAGGACGAAATCAATTATTTCGTCCCGTGAGAAAATTTATTACTTATATTTTTAGTGAAATTAAAAACTTTGAGGGATTGCAATGTTTATTGTTTATGTTCGCACTTTATAAAGTACTTAGGATTTCTAACATAAAGATATAATGAAAAACTAGAATTTGTTATTTGCAACGCCCAGATAAATAAGAACATAACGTAAAGTCAAATAGGTAGTTAACGTAATTGTAGATTATTTGTATTGAAAACTTAACCAGTAGGCGCATTTTAACCGAAAAATACATCTAATGTAATCATTAAGTCAAGTTAGTATAAGTCGTTTTTCAATCATAAAACTTGTATTATTTTATCATAAACCATAAAACAAGTATAGTATGATAAAATAATACAAGTTTTATGTTTTTTACTACTTTATTACTTTTTATTTTATATAATAAAGTTTTTTCTTTAGTTTTTTCATTCTTTTACATACTTTTACTTTTTCTAAATTTATTATTAGGCCAGATTCTGCCTAAAAATTATAATATTAACCAATTTCAACATCATATAAAAATTCTTTACCTTGTTGTTTCCGAACTTTTTAATCGAATTTCCCGTTCTTTATTAAATTCTGAAAACCGCAATAAACTGTCCAAAGCGGCGACATCCCTCTAACGAGTTTCTTGACAAGTTCAAAGTAAAAAGTTTTTATTTACTTAACTTCTCTGTTCTCACATAATTTTTTTAAATACTCAACTGAAAACGTGTTCTAGTTTTTTATTTCATTTTATTATAAATTATATTAATGATATTCTATTCTGTATGCAGAATAATGATCTTTGATTATAAAAAATTTCTTAGCTCAAAACGAATGTTTATCTTAGTAATGAGCTCATTTTGAAAATAGATTCCCAAATAACGCCTTTTTTATCAAATTGAATAAAGATAAGGGAATGAAAAAGACGAAGCAATCGCTGTGGTGAAGTTCGTGTCGAGATTTTAAAATGTTGTGGTTAATGGTTCATTCGTTAATAATACATTTTTTCTCAATAAGAGAATAGGTGCCAATCTGCTTATAGGATTAATGAGAAAGCTTCCTTTGACGCAGTTACAAGTAGAGGCAAAGACATTTTGCTTTTGAAATTGATCAGGCGATAGCATTGTGGAATTGCGAGAAATGTGAGTCAGTCAAATTCGGCGAAACCAGAGACAAGTGATTCATAGGAATTCATCTTTAATATTTTTATTATAAAATGCGTACATTTCATTTTATATTTTTTAAATTATCAATTAACAACTGATATAAAGTTATGTAGAATATGTTTTTAATGTGCTAATCTATTTTTAAATATTGCATAAAACCGGATATTAAAGTTTATTTAATAATATTACCCTTAATAGTTTGAAAAATAGATGACTATCTAAAATATACGATTCTGATAATATTTTATAATTCACAAAAAATGTTATGCAAATAGCGTTTGAACATAAATCTGATTAAAAGGCACGTGAAATATAAATATAATATGAATAATTATCATATAAAATAATTATTTATATAAGACTAGTAAGCCGCTTATTGAAAGGGTAATGAACTTTGTGTTAATTCAAGGAATCAATCCTAAAAAAGCAGGCGTCTCAGTCATAACCTCAACTTCTACCAAGAAGCAACTAGGAAGACAGAAAGGGACCACGCAGCCGCTCAATGTTGTCGCGCATGCGCCCAGCCCTTTTTTACAGATATCATAAACCCTGAACGAAGCACAAAGCAGGAAACTCCAGGGCCGATCGTACCAAATGTCGGGAGTTTTAAATCTCGTAATATTTTAATTTTATACCAATCTCCAGTGAAACGAGCATGTGATTTGCTAGTGTTACTTCAAACAGTGGTTTTTACGTCATCATGTATAAAACGGTGCGCCATGGCGAAAATAGTCTTCAGTATACTATCCTTCCGCAGACCGAAGAAGTGCTTAACAACAGTGGACTTAAAGGGAAAGGGCGGGATTATAGCCCCTCAATTCACGTGAGACGGTCCAGGCGAAAATCAACCCTCAAATATGTATTAATGGTAATATTTGGAACTGTTGTAGCCCTAGCATTGGCGTCTGTTCCTCTATACGTTATGAACGGTGCTATATTTGCTCGAAGAATGCAATTCGATCACCATGATACTACGACGCCAGCTCTCACTCCCGGTGGTAGAGAAATATTACGATCCCGTAAAAAGGAACTGAAGATGTCTGCTGAAACTACCATGAAACCTCAATTGGACATTATAACTACCACAACTACTCCCTCTACTACTACTACTCCAGTCCCCATAACTGTGACCAGTGAAAAGATTACAAATCCATCCTGGACCATGCCTGCTTTAAGGTCTTGGAAAGCAGTGTCATCGACGTCTCTACCACAATTACCAACAGAAGATATCGAACGGATTCCACTAATTGGCACACCCTCAGGAAGTGTGCGTCTTCTAGACCATTACATGTCCATGAGGCCATGGGATAAAGACATTATAATTAGACCAACTGTCGCCTCAGAACCGATAACGATTCGTGACGTTTTTAACTATTTTTCCATTCACTCTCCAGATAAAATTGTAACGGATAGCCCGAAAGTATTCGAAGATGTATTGATCACCACAAAGGCTACGATAGAGAACATAGCAACTACTGAAGCTATTGCGAATGATCTATCAAAGTTCAATGACCTAAAAGACACACTGCTGTCCGTAGATACCGATGAAGAGGCAAAGGAAACGCTAGAAGAGGACGAAGTATTTTCTTTACCACCATTAAAACCAGATATAGCGGTGGACTCGGATTCAGATGAAGTTACAGTTTCTAAGACCACAAATGGCTGGTACGGCCAGAAATGGCCATTTGTGGATTCCTCGACTTACTTCAGGTGGCCTGTAAATGTAAGTATTTCGATAACGATGAATGCGTGATATGTTTTAGTAATACAAATTATTTAGATCATTAAATTTTTACTAGTATATTTTTAATATCCATTACAAACATATAGGTAATAGATTTTTAGTTTGTCCTATGTGACGTAAATCATAATACAAACCACAATAATAGTCAACACACATTAAATTCTAAGAATTGATTAAGACTAACCAATTGAATTCTAAAACAAGTAACCGCTTTGAATTTACAAAATATTTTTTTCTTCATAATTTTTTATATTATTCCGCATTGCCTGAAGAAGTGGTTTACTTGGGACAATACTGTCTAAAATATTGTATAGACAAGATTATCTATAAATGTAAATTTGCCGGACATTCGTCCTTACATTGCACATAGGTGGAATGTAAGGGTGCGTCAACTGCGCGCGTGCATTTTACGAGGCTTGCATGAGCTCGCAAACGGCTCGCGAGCTGCACATTCGCGACGCATTCGCCAGATGTGGACGCACCCTTAGAATGTAAAGTAAAAACTCGATTTCTTGGTTGTTCATAAAAGTAAATTAGATTCTTCGTATTCTTTTACTAGTTCTGGATTTAATCTCGGGGATGACAATGTTTCGCTTTGGAGAAGAGAAAAGTTAATTAGGATTTTTGTTATAATGACGAGTTACAATACCATATTTTACATGATTACAGATCGAAAGACTTTTTAATTAATTAGCTAATTAAATCGGTCATAATTCTGGTGTTTTAATGATTCTTGTCCACAGAGCCCCAATGACAGCATCGTACTACCACTATTAACAGGGGCTTTATCGTCGATTACTCTGGTGCTAATATTGGCTTTTGCGATCAAGTTAAGAAAACGTACCAGCCATCCCTGCGCTACTGGGGTAAGGGTAATTATGTATCAGCTCTCATAAAAACGCAGAGTTGGCCTAGTTGTTTCAGCGTGCGAATCTCATCCCTGAGGTCGTAGTTTCGATCCCCGTGCACCAATTTACTGTCTATGTGGGCATTTAATACTCACTCGTACGGTGAAGGATAACATCGTTAGGAAACTGGCCTTAGAACCAAAAAAGGCGACGGCGTGTGTCAGCTACAGAAGGCTGATCTATACTATAAAACATCACGAATGACAAAACAGATAAGCAAAACCGAGGCCTTTTTTTCCTAAAAAAAATTTTTTATCCCATATGCATGTTTTTCTTAATCGCTATCGTGTCACTTTGCAGATATAACATCATATCACGTGATACTTTATTAATTTTTCTTGATATATTTGTTGGATAGAATGATTTTCTAATCATATAACCTTTACTCTTATAAGATAAACACTTACGAAGCAGTTTTGCATATTATGTTGGTATTACACCGTTGCACATATTGATCGATTTGGCCTGTCCTGTCGCATTAATATTGTAGCGCGAACGGTGAGGTAGACGCCGTATGGGACCTAGATCGATAAGCGGGGCACGGGGGAGGGTATCTAAACAGAAATATACACCTATAGTGAATATAAATTTATCTAAAAGATCTTTATTTCTTGAGTTTTAACCTTCCTACAACTCTTATCTATAAATAAAGGTGTACCAAGGTGCAGGCTTGTTCTTACATGTTTTAGTATATATGTACACGTTTAAATGCGACGAATGTGCTTTTATTTTAGCATGATATAACATCAATTATATTTGTCATACGATCTTAATAAGAGTACCTACTAAGACGCCCAACAGCGAAGTTTTTTCACAGTCAATGTTCCTAATTAATATTATTGACATCTTATCAAATGCATCTAATTATAATAATTGTTGTCTATTGTGATTCGTTTTGTTCTGCTAATTGCAGTAACCATACTCAAACATAATTATGAAATAAATATTCTATAAGATATATATATATATATATATTGAATATGATATAGATATTTATTATGTATCGTCCTAATTAAATGATTGACCTAGTGATGAGTATAATATTTTGATTTTCTAGAAGTTATCCACCGAATCTCAAACTGATGACAACACTAACTTATTGACGGCTGAAAATCCAGAAGAAGTCGAGGAGTGAGATGTGAAATTGTAATTTAATTTTGCTTTTTGTCATATGCACATTAAGGAAATTTTTTGAATATAAAATACATGATTTTTAGATCCATATCCACTTAAATATAAAAAAAAACTTTTGACGAGTAATTTTCCTAATCGTGCATAAGACCTTAAATGATAATTAAATTTTACATAATCCATATAAGAATGTCTACGCTATCATGGTTGGTTAAAAAGAAATTCATAGACAATGTTAATTATTACAAATTGAAGTCTGTGACCATAGAGTATATATTAAATTTCACAAGGCATTGTCTGTCATCTTAAATCTATTTTGCTCATAAATTGTTTTAGACTGAATGAGAGGAATTATTGCCAAATTTAAAATCACCATTAATCATCAATGCTATATTGCGTTACCATTTCCTACCTAATGTTAATGAATTAAATAAAATCATTATTTATATTAATATAACGTCTTAAACATAAAATATAATCTTTAGCTATCATGAGCTTTTAGACACTATCAAAAATATATTCGCTGTTTCCGAAACGCATTTTCCATATCTGAAAGTATTTTAAGAAATCTCAGTATTAATAAATGTGGTGTGTACATTTATTTTTTAATATATTGGACTAGGTTAAGTACCGGCGTACCTACATTCACAAAATTGCTTTGTTAAATAGATATAAGACTGATATAGCGTTTTTGTTAATTTCTAGTGGTAAAGTCCGATTAGTAACCTATTTTTGTAAAGGCACTAGGTATTTTTTGTGCTTCGTTAGAATAAGGTGTGTTATCAATGAAGGGCATGAACGGTTTGTGATTAAATGAAAGGAATTGCATGGCATCGTTTTACAAATGCCGAACACGCTAAATCATGCGAAATTTTATATCATAAGTGTCGCACATACTATCTAGCTGTTAATTTAAAGCTTTTGTGTCCAATAGTTTGTCATAATCTTGTGCTATGTACATAAATTAAATTGTTTTACCACCGGTATGTTCTATCATTTTAAGTCTCCTGTGAATAGTGCCGTCTAAAGAAGCTGCGAAAAACGAGGCGCGCCATCGCCATTCAAATTAAAATCAGCAACTAATTGTATAAGTTATCCGCGAATTAGGGAGTGGTGTAGGATCCAAGATATAAAGCCTGCTGCGTGATTAAACAGTCATAATAATTTTTTTCATGTGTGTGAAATAAATTAATAGAAATTGACAACACTGGTCTTGTACAATATCAGACTTTTTTATTCCATGCTTATTGCTTACGGTGACCTCTTTCAATGACAAAATAAATTCATTAATTCTTGTTGGATGGGTAAAAAAAACAAATCTCTTAATTGACGTTAGTTTATTTTAACTGAAATAATGAAAACATACTAAATAAAATAAAACTAGATTATGTACACCTTAAATAATCATTTATATTATACAATATTAAATTGTAAGCGTAAAAAGCGGGTGAAAATAAATTATTCTTTATAAGACGTTCCGTTTTGCATCTTCAAAATAATAAATAAACAACTATTAATTTGGCGTCAAATCGAAATCGACCGGTAAGAAATCTTTAAATTATAGCTAGGAAAGCGCCTACAAGTACAATAAAAATAGGATATACTAAAAAGTCATATGTGAAAGTCATAAACATTCCTTTTGCAGGAAAAATAAGCACAGCATTGGTTGATTACTAAAATAATATTAACATATTTATCTAGCCCATAGACGGGTAAAAATACGTACGTTGTACGTACGTACGGAAACGTGTGCGACAAAACACCAATTTAGTATCTAGTACTTCATACAAAGGTTTTCTAGTCTAAGGCCCGCATAAAAACCGAAAAAGTTAAAGCAGAGAAACGTAGAATACGGCTATTATATTTTTAGTAATACATTTCAAGAGATATATTTTAGTATTACATGCTCATACGTATACAAAAATTATTTAACATAACCAAATGTAATAATTATCGCCTCTAAGGGTAATGTTCAATTTTAAGTGCGGCACGGGTACTCTGTTACTAGCAACAACGATAGCGATCACGATCCCAATTGCAATATAGAATGCTTGAGATCTTCGGAATCACGCGGTTCAAAAACTCAATATTGAAGTCGGGATCAGCAGATTGGCAGTTACAGAGTACCACTGCTGGAATGACAAATAATATAGATTGGTGTCATGACAGTATCATTAATTTTAGCCATAACAAACTGTTCAATTAAGAAATTCAGAAACGTCATTGGGTCACTTATACTATATTTTGTTTAATCTATCACAGAATTACAAAAGACATTCTTATATTATTCCTTAATACATGAAATGTAAAAAAAATATGAAAACATTATTTATTGCTTGTTTATATTAATTTAGAGAATGACCTGAGCGAAGTTAAAAACGATGAAATGTAACACGGACACGTTAAATTTGTTCGGCTCAACAGGAATTCAAATTTCGAATCACAAAAGAATTCTTTTGTTTCATTAAGAGCGAAAGTTAACAATTATTGCCATATAACAAAATCCATATTAGACAAATATTTCGCTGCAGACATGACCACACTTGATCAAAAGACATACTAATTTTAATAAAACTCCCACGATGTAGTTTCTATTGTAAATTGTATATTGATACTAATAGGTCTCAGTTCATTCTCGTTTTTCTAATATAGCACCTACTGACAGTTATATTTTCTATCAACTAATCTTAGTAATTTTGCTTTTCTACAACAATGAATAGTGTCCAGTGATATGGGTATATCGCGACAAAACAACTGAAGATCTATAACAGTTCCACTTGCAAGCAACAATTTGACATTACAGTAAAAGATTTCATATGTCATTTTCTCAACTCACGACTCAGTCCAGATAGTTGTCTCTTTCATTAGGATGGTTTTGGAAAGGGACAGCTCTGTTTGTTTGATCTTACACGTTAGACCTATAAAGAAACCCTGAGATCGCAGACATTCGCGATATTTCTTATCCCGTTACAATCTTATAAAACCTCCATGGTTACGTCACGCTTGACTTATTCAATGCCTTGAGCCCGCTCCCGAGTTCGATATTCGATAAACAATAATTGTCTCGTACTTTACACGGCGCCGGTATGCTGTACTTCAATGTTGAGTTTTCGTACAACGGAAATTTAGAGAACTATATCGAAATGCCATACAAAAATCGAGATCGCAATTGTAATTTACAGAGTACCGGTGCTGTTTCCTATCAATTCGTACGAATAGAGTTTTCATGTATATTGCTAGTATTTATTATTAAATACTCATTCGACAAAAAAATCGATCCGATAGAAATTTAGGTCAATATTTAGTTTCGATATCATTTTTGTTTACAAATTTTGACATTTACTACTCGATATAAAATTTTAGATTAAGTAGTTTTGGAATAAAATTATCTAATCTAAGTTGATTAATACGATATTTACAAGTATATACAATTAGGAGGTTCATATTGCTATTGTTTTGTCCTTGTCACTCTTGTGGCTTATTGAATATAAAAAAGAGACAAAACATTTCAATTTAGGTTTGTGCATATGAAAAAGAACATCAGTCTGAAAATACAACAGACACACTATTGTATGTTCTGTCCTGGTTACTCTTAAGGCTTTTTGAATATAAATGAAAGAGACAAATGAGGCGTTTCATATGTCATCCGTTTATTACTATTGGACTTTAATTTAGGGTAAGTGAACAACATAACACAATGTTTTTTTACGCATAAGATTCAGTCTAATTTAATACAACTATATTACGCGAATATTAAAAGTTTTTTTTAAAGTTCATCAGTTCAGAATTATATTAAATCACTGCTCCAACAACTAAACCACTAGACACGTGGAGAAACTCTATATTGACTGTTATGCACAATTGAACATCAGAAATTGTTATTACAATCCTTATGTAAACCACTACTTCAACAACTAAAATACAAATCCTTTCAAATTATTTTCCTTAATGACGTCATAAGGAAACCAGGCATAATTTAAACCTTTTATAAGACTAAACACATGAACTGGTTTTTTTCCATATTTATTTAGACCGCGATTGTCTTTTGTTTTTAAGAACGATAGCTTTTGTTTTTCTTTCCCAATTGGACTTTTAATTTTGACGCATTTATCATGTTTTTCCGAAAACCTCAAAAACTAAAGCACTATCACTGCTGCGGGTTCGCAGGTCTCAAAAGTCTCGCCAAAACATGTCTCCCGCCAACGAGTTTCAAATGCTGTCCATCCATTACTACGCTTCGAATCCCGCTGGATGTCGCCACTGATGTGTTTGGACCCTGGAAATTTTTAAACAATTTTTTAGTTCAAAAAAATATGATTAATTACGTTTTAGTTTAATTTTTTTAAATTGTGGCAGTTTGGGCACTGGTTAGTTAGTTAGTTAAAAATTGGTACGTATTGTACAGGTAATGCAAAGCTTTTATTTATTAAACTAAAAAAAAAATTACATTTGCATTTGGATACTTTTGGTAAATTTAAGAAAAAAATAACTTTTGAAGATTTTGCATTGGAATGAAAATATTTAACTGCTAACGCCCTTATCCTTATCCATTAAAACTAGATTAGTTTTACACTATTTAGATTAAAGTGTCGCTTGTTAGACGTGGTAAATAAAATGTCGACACAGGTGGGTAACGACAAATCTTCACCTAATCAATCTTAGTTTTTATCATTAAAAGGGTATAATATATATTTCAACATGACCGAAATTAAACCAGAACCAATTTAAAATATTAGTATTATAACATGCTATTTCTATAATTGTAAATTTCATGCTTAAAATTCCCTACATGACATAACTTCATCAGTAAAATACTAAAATACAAATTTCACAAGAGTTATCCATATTGAAAATATTCTTAGTCATGTTTAATTTTAAAACCAGATAATATAGAGACCGATTTTTTATGTTAATTGTAAAGCACTTTAAAGTGAAGCAATAAAGACGGATTAACCGTAATTCATAGAAAAAATCTGTATACATAGTTTTATGTTCTTACGCAATATAGATAATAATATACACACACACACTAATATATTACATTTACAATACATTATTGTGTATATATAACTTTTTGTTTTATTTATTTTCTATACTTACGTAAACAAAGAAAATATTATATTGTTTTAAACTATTTTATATTTTAGTTGATTAATATAATTAGCATGCATTTTCTGACCAAACTTATATTATTATTTATTGTGTTATTACAAATTCTGGTATGTATACAATTTACAGTGCAAAAACCCATGCATATATTGAATTATCACCTGTTGAATTTTTATTCCTTGCGCTAGTTTAACTTGTTGTATTGGATTCACCTATAATAAATTTTCTTATTAAAAATCTGTTTAGACCTTTTTGGTTGGACACATCTTTCTTAGCTTCGTCTTCGTCAAAACGTTACCATGGTAACATATACAATACGTTTTATAAATAACGAAATAAGTCAAGAATGTTAAGGATATAGGATGAAATATAAACAGCCTTATTATAAACTATAAAGTAAATACAGTCCTATTTTTTCTATACAAAAATATGTTTTCGTAACTATGGTAACAAACACGGTACTACTATATCTAGTCCATCTTTTATGATATGGCTGAACTTATAGTATGTTTCTATATAAGTGGATTTTTAATTTTCAATTTAATAAAAGCAAATATCTATATTTTTTTTAAATATGAAGGTCGTAACATACCTGCTGCAATTTCAGAACCGGAGCCGTAGTCGTTGTTGTATTCGCAGATTGAGCACCTGAAATGTTAAACAATTGGTATTAATTCAATAATAATTTATTCATAAAGAAAATAAATACGCTGTCAAATAAGTATAAATTTGCTGTCAATAAAGAGTTTCTATTCTCATAAAAACTAATTCAATCAACATTTAATTCATATTGTAATGGTTTAACGGTATTGCTGAAACTAAATCCAACAAAAATTGGTAAATTGATGAAAGTAATACAGTCTTAGAACTTATGAAAGTATCACAAAAATTGTCTTTATGTGAAAGTGAATATTCATTTAGTTTCGCCAATTATTTTACGTGAAATATTTTTTTATATCAATTATAGGTAGTTGGCCTTGTGGCTTGCGTGCGACACTTATCTTAGACGTCGTAAGTTCCATCCCTAGCTTTGCTCCAATGAACTTTCTATGGCATTTAGCACTTGCTCGCACGAATAAAACTTCGTGGTGGAACAATCAAAATTATCAGAGAAGATGCAATCTTAATATCCATTTAGGGTTGTAGCGGCACTTATTATTTAAAAATGTATCTCTTAAACTATAAAAACATCATACAACTACATAAAAACTAATAAGTTTACGTCTATTTCAATGTATGGAGTATTTTAATGTTTAGTTATAACAGTTAATCCCTCACCTATACTACTAATAACAATTGTTTGCGACGTTGCCACACCGCTACTGACAGGAACCCGTATTGCGTTGCCGTCACTCTGAAATAAAATAAAGATAAAATATAAGATATAAGCCGCCCGTTGCCTAATAACTTATGTAACCTTCTTACTTTTTGTTTTTTTTTTCTATATGTATAATTATGTGTATTATGGCAATGAAGTATAAATAAATAAATAATAAATATAAATTTATACTCATATCGTATCCTCATCACAAGCATTATTAGTGTATTGGTTACGCATGAAAATCACCTAAATTTTAGGATAAAATATGTCCATCGAATCCGTTTTTTACATAATTATATCTAGGCATAATTGTATTATAATCACAAATCACAATCTCGACTTGAATCAAAATATATTTAGTGAAAAACAAAGAAATTTAATTTAAAGGGTTGATAGCTTTGATATAATCCATGTAACTGATGCAATTCGGCTCTGAAAAGTTCAGATAAATTTCAAAGAATTACCTGTAAAATAATATTATGCAATGGCTTCCCGGAGGTCAACAAAACTGGTCTTGTGAGACGTGTGGTAGGAGATAATACTCTCACGCCCCGACCACGTCCACTTCCCACTCCCACCACCCCGCTCATGTTCCGATTCATGACTCCCTCTAAGGATATCATTTGGCCCTGAAATATGTGTATTAATTAATAATTTTAAATGAATCAACAGACGATAATTTTATTTAGCTTTATAATAAACGTAAATGTCTGATGTGTGTTCCAGTTACTTTCTATATCTGTCTCTGATTTGGCACCCTCTAACAAAACGACAATTCTTATAATTAGAACAATAATAAATAAATAAATAAAAACTTGGGAACTTGGGAAAATCCGCACGTTACCCGTCATTGTTATATGTATTTCTTGAAATTATTGTTCTTATTCTAGCAACTTAGGGAGCGTTCAAGTATTGCGTCACACAATTTTTGGAGATTATTGACCCCCCCCCCCATGTACCGCGCCGTAACGTTTTTCTGTACCCAAGTATAGTAAAACGTTTCGTGACCACCTAGTGACTCTTTATACCTAAAAGTTACCATTATGTGGTATAAAGTACTGGAAAGTCGAAAATAATATTAACAATAACGCGTAATTCAATTCTCGCCCCGCATCGTAACGTTTTACAAAAGGACCCCCCCAAAATTCGTTACGTAATACTTGAACGCTCCCTTAGCTGTTAAGATATTATTAATACTAACACTTTAATTAATTTATAGACTGTATCGCCTGACAAATAAGAATTTTTCCAAGTAATAATTTTTATCAAAAAGGTTTTGAATAATTTTTATTTTTATTTTTCAGAGATATAATATCATGAATCACCTTACATACGATTCTTTATTTTTTAAACAAAATGACGTTGTTACAAATTCATCCGATGCTAATAGCTCTTCTGTGGTATAATCTAATACAATTAGGGTTGGAAAAACCACTAATAAAATATTGTTACGAAGACGGGTCGACTGCAATGTTTTTAGATTTTTCCACTACTTAGAGATCTTTTCAGCAGGCTGAAATGTGATTTCTGACCGTTTCAGGGGAGGGTCAATCACATATTAGAAAATCGTAATTTACAGAATTTTACCCTATTTTTTCAGGCAGTTTCAGGACAAGTGTAGTCGAGTGGTACACTTTTCAGGAAACCCGTTTTCAGGCCTGGTTATACCCCTTTGATGAAGGAATATTCTAGAACGAATTTTTAAGGTATGGGACAAGGACGGTATGATACGCCGCGAGAGAGAGGGAAGATGGGAACCTTCTCGAAACTAGACCGAGCACTCCAGAACGCCGTACGACAAGGACGGAGCAGTGTGCGAAAGAGATAGCGAGTACGCACGTTCTAGAATTCTGCGATCGCTACTCAGTAGCGCTCCCTCCTAGAGAGTTCTCGAACATTCCCAGGGATATATAAGCAAACCGAAACGCGACCGATTAGTTCAGTTTTGAATGCGACATCAAGAGATAAACACCGAAGTGACAAAGTGCGAATATAGTGAAGACAAGTGATAAGTAATTAAAGTAATTAGCCTGAAAAAATGTTTCAGCCTCCTGAAAACTAGAGTAACATTCTGTAAATTACGATTTTCTAATATGTGATTAAACCTCTCCTGAAACGGTCAGAAATCACATTTCAGCCTGCTGAAAAGTTCCAGTCGACCCGTCTTCGTAACAATATAGTCAGTGCGGACAGTCTCGTCGTGGGATTCGAGGTATCCATATCCACATCTTAATACTTAGTAGGAAAAAATTTAAAAGGTAAATATTTTTTGTAAATAAATGACTCGCGAAGCAAATATGAATTATATTAGTTCTCATAACCTTACTGTACAGTGTACATGTCTTTGTGAATGTGTCATAATACAAATAAATCTTACCTGTGCATTGGTTAATAGTTTAGCAACTATTGGCTGCGGCTGTTTGTCTCCCGTAGCTTGATTCCTCACTTGAGCTATGGATTTGGGCGTTTGATTCAACTGTAGCGTTTGTCCACTGGCCAACTGTAATGTTTGGCCACTGGACAGTTGGACCGTTTGGCCACTCAATTGTAACGTTTGACCACTCGGCAACTGAACTGTTTGGCCGCTCAACTGTATTTGATTGCCTAATTGTACTGTTTGTGTCCCCAATTGTGTCGATATTTGATTGGACAATTGAACGTTTTGTCCGCTCAACATTGACTGGACATTTCCGCCCAACTGTACCGTTTGTCCGCTCGGCAATTGGACACTTTGGGTTGGAAGCACATTTTGACTAGCAACTTGTACGCTCTGTCCACTCGGGAGTTTAACCGTGTGTCCGGTTAACTGTACGCTTTGGCCCAATTGGACAGTCTGCCCGCCGATTTGCACCGTTTGTCCCGCTAATTGTACAGAAGATACCGGTATTTGCACTGTCGGCCGGACGGTGGGTGTTTGGGCGCGGGGATTTTGATTCTTTTGGTTCACCGCTCGTATTGCTTGAACTGTTTGTGGGGAAGCTAACTGGACAGTTTGACCGCTTGGTAAACGGACGCTATGTGTTGGTAATTGAAGGGATGAAAGTTGAAGGGTGTGGCCAGATAATTGGACAGATTGTCCACCTGCTAACTGGACAGTTTGGTTTGACAATTGGACAGTCCGACCTCCTGGTAATTGGACAGTACGAGTCGTGATTGATGACGTCACAGGAGTAGTCACGCTACTAACAACATTGGTGACTGTTGTACTCTGTAACAAGATTTAATATCAACATTACAATTGATTTTTTTTTTAAATTTATGACTTTCAATAACATATTTTGTCATTTAGAAGATGTGTTTTAAGATGTAAGTATATATTATATTGAGAAAATTCACGATATCTTTAAAAAATGCAGAAATTATACCTGTACGGTCGATGGGACAGCCGTCGAAGGCAGCGATGGTCGTTTCTTTGCTGTTGAAGTCGCTGCTGTAAAAATATATGATTGACGAAATGATAGCAAAGGATTCCCTAATAATATAAAGACCCGTGAACCTTCAAAGAATCCAATGATATATAGATTTTGATGGTGTTAAATTTATTTTAGACTAGACGAAATATAGAACACAATTTCGAGAAAAAATAATAAACAAACAGACTTATTAAAAGCAATAATATATACGATTCTATGTAATTTTACTTCCGTTTTTAAATATTAATATTACAAATAGTTGAATATTGCCTAGTGGCTTAAGACTCTCATCCCTGAGATCGTACGTTCGAATTACGGCCGTTGACTAATAGGTAGGTGAACATTGCGAGGAAACCGACATATAGTATTGTCTTTTATTAACAAAACTTTTACACATTTAAAGAAAACACTTTTTTTACCGGATTGAAGTTATGTATTTAATTATAAATTTAAAAAAAAAACCGACGTTTCGCGTGCTTTACAGCGTGCGTGGTCACGGTGACTGAAGACAAAAGGTGTTGAATGTCAAAAAGTATCACAGCTGTAGAAAAAGTTGTATAATCTGTATTTATTTCCCCGGAGTTGATATCGACTAAAAGATGGAGGATTTTTTTAAATTATGTAACATAATTATAAGTTTATAATAATACATAACTTCAATCCGCGTAAAAAAGTGTTTTTTCTTTAAACCGATACATGTCTCAAAGACTCATGTTTCAAACGTCTAGTAAAGCTGAAAGTCACCGATAATGTATGTCTAGTGCTCAAGAGATCGAAACACATCAGGTTTTTAAAGTGTTTTAAGAGCTTCAACTACTCCACCTCACAACAACGGATGACAATTTGAGTTGTGACGAAAGTGACTAAATTGTCTTCGGAAAATCTTATGCAAAACAAAAAAATAAACAAAATGGTTACAAAATATCTACTATACCAAACATTGTCAGCATCATAATCTCAGAGCCACTTATTAAGGGTATCGACTTAGTGTTAAGGTCCAAGTTCGCCACTTATACTATTTAAATGCGCCTGGAAAAAAATAGAAACAAATACGTCTAAAATGACTCCATCTGTAAAATCTGAATTAGGAAATAAGAGCTATCGGTGATAATTTTAACCTCGTTGAGGGATTCCTATTTCTTCGCAAGATAGAGGGCACTGTGGCACTTGGAAAAATTCATCAAAGTACTGAACTTACGCCACGACACTCAAACAACAAAAACAAGATATTTGACATGAAAGAGGATTTAAAAACATAATAATTAACAACATTCAAATTATCACAACCTTATTAAAACCTTCTTTACACCAAAAAGTCAAATTAAATAACTTAGCCTGGCATTCCGGACCTAGTTTGTGCGGTAGAGCGATGAAATTATTTTCAATTACGAATACATAGTCAAATAATAAACATGTTCTGATTTCAATTGCAAAAATAACATTATTTTAGAAGGTTGTAAAAGGTTATAAATAGACGGTTTTTCTTTGTGTCTTAACCATTTTCTCATAAACTCATCTTGTTAATTCTTTAAAGGAGGATTAACCGGAAAAAGCCCAAAAGGCGGAAGGAACTCCATATTACAGATAAAGTCATTCTTGATACATAGTATTAAATGGCACAGTTTCAAAAAAAAAAACACCCCCCCAACAAGGGAGTAAAAAAAAAAAAAAAACAACCACAACAAAAACAGAGGAAGAATGGAAAATGGGAATCTTTTTTTAATATTTTTTGCCATTTGTGATTAAAAACAAACGTCAAAAATTTATCTCCCAATTGCCAGAAAAACAACATCGTTTAACAATGACTTCATCAACAAAAATACATACTACAATGTTAAGAGATAGATTTTTGCTCCGACATTTCTTACCACTCCCACGCGAGCAACCATTAATTTTAAAAAAAAGTACTAAAACCGGAATAGCAGCTAACAAATATGGAAGTAACACATGTGTAACACAACCTAATCAAGAAGCCTTCCCACCACGGTTGGTCGCCGGGGAAGATCAGACCATCACCCTCTAACGAAAAATCATATTTAAATAGCACCTCAATATTAGGACTTTAAGAACAGCGAATCACTAAAAGAGTCGCAAAAGGTGTAAACAGTGTAAGGACCCAGTGCGCACACCGAACTCAGGATAACCGAGTAAATTTAATGCCGATATATAAAATGAGTTCGTTTTAAAGGCTATATTATTATTATTATTATTATTAATAATGCACCAATCCGGTAAAAAAGGCCTTATAAACCGACATACACGAAACTCATGTTTCAGGCGAAAGGCGATCCTGCTTACATAAAACTAAAGACTCAATCTTTATGTCTCAAGACCATTCAGAGTGAGCACTTTTATTTAAATGGCTGGAAATAATAAGACGAAAGGGACTCAGTTGAAGAGCCGCGGGAATTAGGACCTCCCCGCTGGCCCCGGACTCAGACTCGGACAGCCGCGAAGAAAACTCATTTTTGTTAAAAACAAAACAATATTCCTTTACTTTCCCCTTTCCCGGGCCGGCGCGGTGAGTGCGTCAGCCATGTTTGAACAAAAAATCACGTTAAAAATCTTAGATGTACCTATAACATAAGTTTTTTTGTTAACTGTACCATTTCTCATTTATTTTTTCATCAGATTGTCAGTCGGAAACAGCTTATCTTTTTTTTTATTTTTCATTTTATATCAAACGGCTTTTCCTAGCCTCGTGTTGTCTTCATCAACCTTATTAATGTGGATAGAAGTATGCCAGTTACCATGACAACCATTCCCTTTGTATGGAATAATCGTAACCATGGTAACAAATACGGTACCCCAGGTTTTTACATAATTTTAACGTACTTTTAAAGACACCAATATCTTTACCTGAGTGGAAGGTGTACATACGGACCGCAGTCACCGCTGCCGTGGTGTGCACCACGGTGGCCTGATAAGCAACAACGTGTCACTTTGGGCCTGCAATAAGCCACATAGTGCTATCGAGAGCGAATTTTTTTCAAATAATAACACTGTTACATTTAAAACTTGCCTCGAACTCGTGTCGAAAGTCACATTCCCTACATACACTACTGTTAGCTGCTTGACTAAATCAAGAAAAAAACAATATTTTTACTTTGGAAACAAAAAACCTTAAAAAATCAGTACTAACATAAGTTTTGTTAACTGTACATTAAATTTATTTTGTAAATTGTCAGCGGATAAAGGCTTATCTTATATACCAACTCTACAGAAACAAAAGACGATATAAAATATCTTTTTGTATATATGTCGCAGCCAACTAGCTTAATAAGCCGTTCAATTAACAGCGTAGCATCTTAACAAAACAGCGTCGTTAACCTTTTAATACATTGAATAAACTGGCTGGCTAATGCTTAGACTATTCGTACGATAGAGTCATTATTTGGCAGAAATAAAAGAGATGAAACGTCTGATATAAATAATATTTTTATATAGGCAATTTAATTTTACTAATACATATATAATTAAATAATAGTACAATTTAATTGCTTGAGTCTAAACTAAATTCACTAAATACTCATTACTATTGTACTTGTTGTTTTTCATTAAACTTTGGAAAACACCAGACTTAGAAAAAATTTGGTTTGCCGACGCCATATTGACAAATTGAAGATTTTCGTTTCGAGTTTGAGAGTCGCAGACAGTGGAACTAAATTTAAATTAACAGTCAACAGGCTAGGCAAGTAATGAAATGTCATCGATCCAAGTCATTTGCCTAGCTATTTGATCAACTGGCTGAATATCTTTCAGGCTAGTTAAACGGCGATGGTTAGTTAAGAGGCTAGGCTGTTGATTGAATGGCTAATTAAGCTAGTTGGCTGCGACATATATATATATATCTTTGCTTATAATACCTAACATTCCACTCGACCTAATTTTTTTTTTTTTTTGTTTAATTCTTTTTTAGACAAAATCCATGATTAATTTTATAATAATAGTATTATATTACCTTTGGATTCTGTATAATAGTATTCTGTTGCATAGACGTCGTTACGTTTGTCTGTATTAATGTCGGTACGGAAATGGAAGACGGCAGAGTCGAAGTAGGGAGTGTCTGAAAATTCAAAATGTACTTTTTCATAAAAACATCGTAGAACACTTAATAAAGAAATATATAGTTACTAGCTGACCCGGCACACATGGGGTGAAAATTAGGGGTTGTATATTTTGTGTATGTTGTATCATAAAAAAGAAAAACTATATTTTTTTTCTAAAAAATAGGCTCACTGAAATCAGATTTACTGACTATGTATAAAAAATTTCATAACAATCGGTCGAGCCGTTTCGGAGGAATATGGGAACGAGCATTTAATATACATAATTTTGAACAAGAGAATTTTATATATATAGAGATTGAAAAGCTTAATTTATAAACAAAATTAAGTAAAATTTGATAAAAATCCTATGGCGAATCACGACCGAATTCGAATCACGGCAGTATCGTACGGTAAAGAATCGTCATGGCTTAGAACCAATGACGGTGTGTTTCAGGCACAGAAGGCTGATCGTCTACTTGACTATTAAGAACAAGATAGATACAAAAATATAAGGCTAACGATACGAAGGGCTACTAAGGGTTGTAACGTCTATTTTTTGATTAAATACATTTTATTTACAATACGTATACATACTATACAATTATTTAGTCATTATAAGTCTTGTTACTTTGAATATAAGAATTTTTTTTTCTTTCTTCAAATTTTGTATTATAAACATTATTTAACTAAATAAAACATTTATGTACAGCCTTGAGCTCTATCTTGAGAACTGGCAGTAAATGTAAATTGAGTCATTATATAATATACTATTTGTAGTTTGACTGTGATAAAAAACCGTAACATAAAAACATTTAAATATAACGTTATACGGGAAAGATTTTTTTAAACGTGTAAAATTTTATTTGAATCGGTCCAGCGGTTTAGTCGTTTACCTCAGAATATTATATTAAAAAATATAAACTTACCATAATCTGTGAAGTCTCTATTTTGGATATAGACTTTTGTTTGACAATAGGCGTCCGTGCTGCATTCAACTCATTTGATAACATGCTTTTACTTTGCGGCTTTTGTATTGGCTTAGGCGAGGAAACACTAGGTTTAGGAGATGCAACACTCGGTTTAGGGGAGGCCACACTCGGTTTAGGAGAGGCGACGCTAGGTTTGGGGGACGCAACACTCGGTTTCGGGGACGAGACACTCGGTTTAGGGGACGGCACGCCCGGTTTAGGGGACGCTGTAGTTCTAGGGGAAGTTAAACTTTTAGGTGATTGAATCGGCGGCTTCGGCGATTTAGGAATTGGCTTGATAAGTTTTGAATTTTTCAACTTTTGTGCTAAAAGACTCTTTTGTTTAATCTGATTTATTTTAAGCGCTTTTGGTGATATTTGTTTGATTATTTTTGGTTTAGGGCTTGGTTTAACTTTAGGAGAAGGGGTTTTGGGTTTCGTCTGGGCCTGAGTGGCCTGCATGAGTAGTTGTGCTGAGGATAATTGGCAGAGATTGGCTGAAGAGCCACTGTCATCTACGTCCACATCAGTATCTGAACCATCTAGTTGTATATCATCGCCGCTTCCTACTTCGACTTCCATCTGAAAAGTTATATAAATTTAATTATTACAGTCTAAGGTAATATTCAGAGACTTAGGTCCATATCTTATTTCTATATCAAGTCACACTCTCGTCATGAGCGCTGTCAAATATATTGGTTGCTATGTTATAGTATTGGTTAGTCAATTGGTAACAACCAAAACAGAATTGTTACTAAACTAAAATTACAAATGGCTATAAATCTGAAATAAATAACTTTTATGTGATTTTAAAGTTTCAATTCGCATATCAAGTAAAAATCTCGTATTAAGGGCTGTGAAATATATCAATATTCATACAGAAAAAATGGTTCGACAACTCTTTAAACTAGATAAAAGTTATACGAGTCTTATTGCCTTAGTTCCGTAATCAAATACATTTCTGACATGGTAGACTTTTTTGACAGTTGTCAAATCAGAAAGACTCGTTCTAATAAGTTAATCAAAATTAAACCCAGTTTCAAGAGCTGTCAAACTGTTTTTCATATGAAGTTTGACATATTAGTCAGTGACTATCCAAAAAAAATAAGACCCTAAAACATAAAATTCAGTAATACAATTGCATGAAAAACTTTTCATTGATACGTACATGGTTAACATTGACTGGCGTCTTTGGCGATGGCGAGGGATCTGTGGAAATTGACTTGATCGCCCGACTCCGAGCGTTACTGCATTTCAACCAATCCTCTTCAGTTCTATAAAGTTATATTAAGTTAATTAACACTGTATTACATATTTGTATTACGTAAGCAGATTAACTGCAATTTATCCCCTCGTCTCTTGTCAACAAAAATAATAGTACATAAACGTATTAATTTTTTCCTGGAGGATTCGAGGAATCCTCAAAAATTCATTTCGTTTTCAAGCATAGACAATGTGTAGGTAATATGTGTAAAAAAGTAAATAATTACTGTTGACGTAATCACCAAATAAGAAAATCAAAGACCCCCCCCCCCCAAACCCCCTACAGTGCTTACGTAATACTTGAACGGCCCCTTAAGGGATAATAGTTAGATCATATGATGTTAAAGAAACAGTGGCGCTACAACCTCTAGGTTCAGACTCAAAGGCCCTGCCCGGGTCTGGCTTCCTTTACGTTCAACAATTGGACCTTTAAACCGTACAATCTTCAACTTACCTATTTCTATGCAAGTACGTCCAAATTGCGGTCCTCTGGTCGTATTTCACTATGGGATCTCTTTTTATTGCGACGAGTCGGTCCAATGCCATCGAAATAGCTGACGATAACGCTTGATCAGTACATGGAATGATCCATTGGGACATTCTGCGGAAAAATTATGGTCTCCGTCAATAATTTCCATGTTTTCAAAAAGCAACTGTAGGAATTGAATAAGATTTAAGTAGGATATGTAAGTTATGCTGATGATCCTCAATTTAGGGGAAATTAAGGAAAATTAATTTTCCCTAAATAAGTTTAAATTATTTATTATTATTTTATTGATTTTTTTTAAATTAAATTTTATGGTTTTTTTTTTAATTTTCGACGATACCAACTTAAGGAATAGTCAAATTTTTATTAAAATCGCTACATACTTTTATTAACTAACTTATACATACTTAAGCAACATGAGTAAGTCCCGCCGTGTACCCTCTCCATTAGGCAGTCTGGCTAATGCGTCCCTCAGAAGAGCTAAGAATCCCGCAGCGCGAGGTCGCTGAGGCGTCACCAGGGACGTACACGCCCCACCCGCGCTAGCACGTACACCACTCGCCGGTCCCACTACTGACCTATATCTACACCCACAGCATAAGTTTAGCCCAGTTTCAATCCAAAATACGAGTCGTAGACATTTCTATAGAGAGTACATTTGACAGTCGTTCTTTCCTATAGATAAAATATTTAAACCCAATAATTAAACCCAACAAAAAAGTAGCTATATCAACAAATCACATGTTATTAAACACTACAAAAAATTTTCAAGTTATTATGTCATTAATACATTTTCACCTTTATGTGCGCTGACATATTAAGCAGGAGCTAAGTATAAGATTCAGAATTCAGGATCCAGACTTAGAGCGTTTAACTTCTTTATGATGAAATCCAAAACGTTCTCAAAATACAGAATTCATAAGCTAAGTTTAACTTCCTATATTAAAAGATCAACAAAATGGGTGGACCAAAGCTCTATAATAAGGTTGAGACAACAAACCTTACTCTAAACCTAAGGTTTGCGTAAAACAATTTGTAAGAAACCTATTTTATTAATACGCAATCACCACAATTTTTTTTTCAACTCATGGTAGAACTTTTTTTTGTTTTCCTGGTATTATTAATTACTCTATATTTTAAAAAAACTGCCAAAAAGAAGGTAGTTAAAACAGACATACCCATATTGTAGATATGTAAACGGTTTAGATGCAGACGCAAATCTTCGTCGTTCTTGAGATCTAAACTCGGCTATTTCCGTATTCGTAGGTTGTCGCACAATCCAGTTTGTTGGGTACCTGTCAAAAAAAATTACACATTCTATTAATGGGCCTAAAAAATATGAAAAATGTTTAATTCCATATTTATTTTTTACGAGCAAAGTTGGCCTGAGGTCGTAAGTTCGATCCCCAGCTGTGCACCAATGGACATTCTGTATATGTACGCATCTAACGCGTTTGTACGTGAGGAAACCGGCATGTTTTGTTTTGTGTTAGACAGAGAAAGCTGATCACCTAGTTGTCTATAAAATAAGAATTAAGGCCCATTTAGATGGAGAGTTTCTCGTATCGAAGGTACGATTATCGAAAGAATACAAAAAAGTTTCTTCGTCTAAACATTCACACCAATTGCTCTACCAGTTTGGCGTCAATTGCCTCGCAATGGAAAATTTATTGTGTCCGTGTAAACAAAAAATGTCATACGAGATCGTGTTTATACTAGTCGAGATTCTCGTAAGTAAGAATCTTCTTACTAAAATGTCGATGTGTAAACATACGCAGGAAATTATCGCCTAGCGATTCTCGTATGACATAATCGTAGGTGAGAATTTAGTTCTTGCCTGTATGTAAACATTTTGATACGATAATGCTATGGCGATTATTGCTGGTGATAGTCGCGTACGATTTCTCGCACCAAAACGTGCGAGAAACTCTCGTCATCTAAAGGGCCTTTAATCAAGAAACGGATGCAATCTGAAGCCAATACCCAGATATAGCGCTACTGTATTATTATTATTATTTATTTTTACCCTTTGGTTTGTTTTAAATTGTTATATTATGGTGTTAACAATGCATTATGAGTAGTAAGACATTATATAATTTTTTAATGGTCTGTCCATAAAATTCAGATATAAAGTTAAACATCATAGATTGTGACAATGATATGTGAATATTGTGATAATTTTGCGTTATCGTCCATGGACTTCGATTTTAAACATTATTATTGTCTGTAAAAATACTACTAGGGTGTGGGGAGGAAGTATGTTGTGTGTTTCCATAGACGTAAAGGGAGTCTCGACCAGTCTACCGACGGTTCCAGAAGCCCCAGTGGCAATAACTAGTTAGCGCGATTCAGGGAATGACGTCATCGCAGTTTGTTCTCGCCGATTGTAGGTGTATGTTTGTTATATGGGAAACGTGATTACTTTAACGTTTTTATTTAATTGTATTTAATTATAAAATAACCTAACGTTTACTGCATAGATTAAAAGACGTTTTTAATAATCCGATGAGTGAACTGGCAAAAGGTCTGCTTCATGTCAGGTCCTATACTGTAAGAAATCTAAGAAGTAGTATTTTTTGTAAATATTTTAATCTATTACTGTTTAATGTTGTGTTGTTTGTGATATAAATGTCAATGTCACATTGAAGTAAGCTGTAATGATAGCTTATGTTGTTAAAAATATAATAAAATATGTGTTGTACATACAAGTTTATGTGTGCGTCACGCATATGTTTGAGAATATAACACACTCAGTGTTGCATATGTTTATGCTTACCTGGGTGGGGGCGGCGCATCTGGTTGCTGAGGAGTAGGCGTCGCGGCTCGCATCCATCTCTCGCACAATCGATTGAGAATTGCATCACAATCGCGACCCGCCCCTATCCATTGATACATCTGTAAAAATATATATATACATACTAGATTTATACCACGTGCGTATATCATTGCAGTAGTATTTCGACAGATGCAAAATTAGCTGTATTAAATAATATTTATCGGCCTTAATAATATATTATACTTATCAAAGTATATTAATTCAAATGTTTTAATCTTCAAATAAAAAGAGGAAATATTAGTTTACACATCTTAACTAATGTTTGACCTTAAGAGCGGCCAACCCGTCTATCTTTTCATACAAACGCTCGCACGTGATTATGGCGTTGTAACAGAAATTTCTTTGAAAGTTTTAAACTAATAAGCACCTTGTGCACTATATCTAGGTTTCTATTAAAACACGAAATCAAAATTTTAAGAAACAAATTCAGTACAAACCTCTAAAAATCTGCCTTTTTGCACAAATTTTATATGAAGTTTGTGCGTTTATAATGTACTCATTAATTGTAACCGGAAAGAAATATTTGCATAGAAACCTTGCAAATGTAATGGGGTTTCTAAATGTAAAACTTTTTTTTCATAATCTTGTAAGGTTTACGAAAAAACACGTATATCTTGGAACAAGTTTTATGAAATTTCCGCACACTATTTTTCTTTCAATGTTATCGCGTTCTCATTTGCTTGTTAGCCATGTGGTAAGCGGGGGACAAGTCGAGCAGGGACGGGCGGCGCCCTGAGACGCGGGAGTTGAATGGAGTTGCGCTGGACGAAACAACAAGCTTTTTGGCTATGCTCGCGTTGCCGTTAAGGCAACGAACGGGGAAGGGCGCTCTTAACATAATACCTCGCAATGTGTAGAAACAAGAGAAGGAATCGTATTTTCAAAATTAAATGTTTGACTCCAGGATGAATACTACGACTATATCAATACATAAATACTTATTATCTTACTTGTGTATCTGGTATGAACTGGAGATACGGCACAAAATCATCTGGATGTGGTCCACGCTCTCCGGCTAAGAAATCCAGCGCTGAATTCAACTCTGCACACCAGTCATTTGATACTATAAAACATAAAATAAAGTTAGTTGAAGTCCCTCTAATGGGGTAAGGAACAAACATTGTTCTTAGTTTTCTTCTTCTAGTCAAGTCAAAAGTCGACAAGACTTTATTGAAGGGAGTAGCTTGCAAGTACTCCTAATTCACCGTGCCTTGATAGAGTTGAAACTGTTGGTTTTCTTATTTATTTTTTATTAAATAATAATTAACTGCTTTAAGATGTATTGATAAGGATGATGTAACAGTTGTAGGTGCTTACAAAGTTTTTATAAAAACCACGTTGTCGCTTTTCTACGCCTCGTCCGTTCTACGCACTCAATTTGAGAACTGACAGTAAATGTAAATTTAGAAGCATACCTTTATTTCTGACGTTCACAAGCTCACATTAAGTTACTTATGTATATTGCTCTTAGGAATTTAGTCTAATTCTAAAGGTGCGCTTACACGAGGGCAATAATTGCTCGGCGACACGAATGGACCGATCTGGAGCAATTAATGGAGCAATTTCAATAAATGTAATAAATTTCAATAAATTATATCGGCGATATTGCTTCTAATTGCTCCAGATATTTCATATCGCTCAATGTCGCAGATACGAATTGACGAATATCCAATGGACTTGGAAATTCCTAGCAATTTTTGTATATATCTCATTCGCACTTGTTTGTTTTGCGGCTTGCCGTCTTGCTTCCGCGGGGAGATCGAGAGGTCTAAATAATAATAATTTCTAGTGACTTTATTCAAAAGTAATTCAAAGTTTTTGAATAATATATCATCTAATTCTTTACACAGTGAAAATTGCGGCCAAAAACGATCGCACCCAGATACGCCTATTCCTTTTCTTTCTTTTTTGATTTTGATTAATAATAAAAAAAGCGCTACAAGCCGCCGCAGCAAGAACAATGTCGTCTATAGCGAGCGAATCCTTAATTGCTCGTGTAGGACAGTATTGCCTAGTTGATGAAGTTGCGCCATATCGCTCAATATTGTATTGCGCAGCATTGATGCTTGTTGGCGTTGCCGTAAATTGCTTGATGTAGTCGTGACGTCATAGTTGACGAGTATTGACTGGAATTGAGCAATTTTAGTTGCCCGTGTAAGTGCACCTTTATATTCACATACGGAAAATTAAATACATATTAATAATAAGAAACAATTTTGGTAAATATTTGGCAATGAGCTATCATATTGCCCAATACACACAGTTCACGATGGTTTCATTCGATATCGAGGACATCCTTTCTGATGAAAGATCCGTATAGTCCTAAATACTATCACATCATGCCTCTTTTTAAATAAGATTTTCAAGTCAGTATTTTCGACTGTTTACTTTATTTAAATTTCACAAAGAATTAAAGTGTAAAAAAATGAAATTTATTTTGGATTTTTTTATATTCATTTTGGAAATTTTTAAAATTACAATACTTACAATTATACCAAGTATTAAGCGGAGCAATGGGCGACCTCATAACTGCCGAACACCGTGCCTGCAACTCCCTTTTAGAGGCCCGATGAGCTGACTTAGCGGGGAATAATGCCCGGACCAAGGACAGAAAGTTCGCATGCGTGGTCTCTGTAAGGGCCTCGTCTGGACTCTTTGGAGAATCCATGGTCTCGTCGGCCAGCTCTACTGGGAGCGCCATCATGTCTATAGAAGAATTAACTTTTCGAACTTTGGGTTTAAACAGCCATTAAAAAGAATTTAATAAAATAGGGTAGTATTTCGTAAGTGTGTGTCCACGAGTTCCTCGAAAAGGGGCCGTTCAAGTATTACGTAAGCAGATTAAATGCAATTTATCCCCTCTCCTCTTGTAAACAAAAATAATAGTACATGTATTAACTTTTTCCTGGAGGATTCGAGGAATCCTCAAAAATGCATTTCGTTTTCAAGCATAGACAATGCGTGGGTAATATGTGTAAAAAAAGTAAATAATTACTGTTGACGTAATCACCAAATAAGAAAATCAAAGACACCTATAGTGTTTACGTAATACTTGGACGGCCTCAAACCGAATGTCATTGTGAGATGATTATTTTACTTAAGTCATGTATATTGCAACTTCTTCGAACATGCCTAGTATCATAAAATAGGTTCAGTAGTTTATGAGATATTGGTATGCACATTTTTCTGAGGAAAATAAATTATGCCATTAACTCAAAATATATTTAAAATAAACATATAAATAAAATGTATACCTATGCCATCCAAATCTTCCAACTTAATAGGTACAGGTTGACTTGTCTTTGAATTGCTTTGTGAATCTTGAGGTTCCTTTTTAATAGTTTTCTCATGAAGATCAAATCTTGAGCTGGAATTAAAATATACTTTTAAGAGAAAAATTAATATTGATCTTTAAGGTAGCATGTGTTTAAAATAATTACATGTCAAATTGATAACCTACTCGTTCATGATTTTCGAACTTATTAAAAAATACTAATTAATGCTTGACAGAATATTTAAAAAAATGTATTTCAATATAAATTGAATATATAAAGCATGTCTACTTTTGAATTTTTTATCAACTAATAAATTTTTGGCAAAGTGAATAAATCATCTTTTACATTCTACTAAATATTTACTTTAATATAAGATGTCTAAGAGAAGGAAACTTACTTTTGATTTTCACTATCAACTTCTTGCTTTATATCGACATGGTCCATAACTTTCTTTTGCCTTGGGCTTGTTTGTTCAAAGAAAGAACTTTCTGAATCTGACTCCTCTTGCTCACACTTTATCTTTATATGTGGTAGAAGTTTATTTTCACTATTTTCATCATCTTTTGTTTTTTTCTGGGGTTGTTTAAAATCTTTACCCCTATGCTGCTCCCTTTTTATGCCTTTTCTAACTTTTTGTATTGGTATTTCTGCTTTAGGACCACCAAACATTAGTTTCTTTGCTCCATTCATTAGAGACACTCTTTGTTTAATATCATCTAATGTTATACCTGTGGTATTGAGTTCTGGATGAGTCTGAAATAAAGGAATGTTGTAGTAATTGCATAATCTTTGATTTTGTCATATATTTCAAGATAATTAAATAAATATATAACATTTAAACTACCTCCCTATGTTGTCGTCTTGCTCGGTGTGTGGACAAAACATTTTTTAAACAAGCTAAAGATGGAAGGACCAGTTCTCCGGTACCCAATGTCCCAGATACATTGGAATCACCGCTCTGTAACAATACAGTAATATTATTGCAAATGGTTTGTGTCATAGATATATTTGGAATAATGTCTAATGACTTATACTGCATACAATTCAGTTTCTTATTCCAGTTTTTAACATTGTAAAATAGTACCATTTTCATGTTTTTCTTTTCAAGCAATTAGTCAACTCTCATTATAACAGCATCTAAGTGTAATACCTGTGTTTGAACTGCATTATTTCTTTTCCTCCTCTTTGAGAAATGTTCAGGTGGACCTTCTGGATAGTTTTCATCGTCTGACCCTTGACAGCCAACTTCGCTCCATATAGCTGTTAACTCCTCAAAGTACCTATGTCTTGCCCTTACATACATTGGTTTATAGTTGTTTTTTGAAGATGGCTTAGGTGGAAGTAATGGTATAGGAGGAATGAGGCCTGGTGGGGAAGACTTAGCCACTGCTAATAATCGTTCTCTGGATATGAGTACTTCAGGCAACAACTTTGCATAATATGACTTTATCTGAAAGAATAATTGTAACATTAATATATACAAAAAACAGTAACTAAGATTATAATTTAAATATTTGACCTTATGCCTTTGTTGTTTTGCTCTAGCTTTTGTCAGAAACTTTCTCATCCTTGCAATATCAGGCCTATAATTACCTTGCCTTAAATTCTTAAAGAAACAAGTTAAAGGAGATGTAAAATGAAAGGGTTCATGACTTAAAAGCATTTTCAGGGTTGTTTGCTTCTCCTCTTCATCATTTTCTTCAAATTTTGGCAATAACTCTTTGAGCTGATCTTTGTGTTTGTCAGCCAAACTGTCCCAGGTTTTCATTGAGAAGAACTCTTTAAACAAGGCAGGATCTTCACAGAGGTCTTGAGGAAGTTCCAATGTATGACCCAGTATGCGAACTTGTTCCATAATCTCCTCATCACTCTCAGAACTTTCGCTAGAACTATCTGATGAACTACTGCTACTCTCTTCACTGAAACTTTGATCACTATCCACCTTCTCTTCCATGGTTCTGAAGTATTACGGCTTGGATCAAAAACAAAACTAAATACTTCTTTTTTAAAGTAAGCCTCTGTTAATAAGTTCTTATAAACATCTATTTTACTCCCATTAGACTGTTAATAAGTCTTGTTTCGTATACGATGTTTACGAAAATCCGACCCAACGATGTAGCGTTATCCAATAGAAAGCCATGGAGTTTTTTAAATAGCCGTCAAGTCTTGTCTAAAATAAAATACAACGCAGACGCCAAACTGAAATTTTTCATACATACTATGCGCCAGAACGGCACATTGCGATGAGAAAATAGCTTGACAACCAAGATCAGCGACATTTTGCCCATACAATTTACGAAATGGAATTTAAAAGCATATCGTGGATAATCTATGAAGTACGGCAGTCTATGCACTTGTCTATGGATATATTTTACAGATAATAAAAGCAAGCTATAGACTTTAGCATACTTTTTATTTTTACCTCTGCTAACTAGTTGGAGCCTATGACGTTGTCTGCGTCGTATTAAATGACAAATAAATAGTTTTTCTGAATTACATTTAACTTTTCTTACTTTACGCCCCAATATATCACCATTTAATTAGACATAAATTATAAACAGCATAAACCAAACAATTTCGGTACGTTAAATAGTAGTTCCTCTTTTTGGATATATTTATAAAACAATTTTTTTAGAAATATTGTTTGTTTTTTGTATCCTTTATTCTGATCTATTTTTAATCAGTCCTTATATCATAACAACATACAAACTTTTTGATAGTACCTATGAAGATTGTGTGTACAATGGAGCAAATTTTATTAACAGAATACACGACTACTTTACTTTCGGATTATCTACTTATTCATTATGTTCGTGGTAAAACTCCGACAGTAAAAACTCATTTTTGGAACTTTTTACTCCAAAGACAATTACTGTTATCCAACACAGACAATTCATGGACACTTATTTATTATTTGCATACTCTTGATCACTCAGCAATCAGCAGCTCTCTTGAATCTTGAGTCTTGACTCACGTTTGACGTAATATTTCGTGGTGTAGTAAACATGGCGGAGGAACTAAATGTTGATAGTCTTATTCACAGACTTTTAGAAGGTAAAAATTCACTATAATCGTAATAAATACTTGTTTTTATGTTTATTAAAACGTGTGGCATTAAGTGTAAGAAACAATTTTAGTGTTAATGTGCACTACATTGCGTAATTAATGTGATTCAGTGTTATGTGTATAGGTATAGTAAATTAGTCTGAACTTCTAAATAAATCGATTATCCCGATTCTTAGATGAATCCACTTTGGCAGAGTATACAAAAAAAGTGTGCAATCTTATACGTTTTTATATTCCTATCAATTTCACGGAGGTTGAGTCCATTTTTAATAGTGATATGTCGTATGATTTTTGACGGAATTCCTAGCTTCAATTTCCATCGGCTTATTGTTGTGCTTTGTTCGCATTGTGTATTACTTTACTATTTGATTTCACTTTATCATGCTGCTTTTTATGGGTTACATCAGTATTCAGGCTGCAACAGGAAGCAGCACGGCGGAAAGGCAAATTCAAAGACATCTTTTCAGGAGAATGTATGGTTTAATTCCAGACTTCTAAAGATTGTACTTTGCTAGATATTTCAGTTATACTTTTGTTCTTCAAATGTGTATTCAAATTGTATAATGAATGTCTCTTTTGTAGCGTTTGCTTTATTTTCAATTTAACATAGTCTATGGGTTGTAAAATAAATTTTCTTTCAAATGTTATTTTTAGAGTCCTTATAAGAATTTGTAACTGTTTATATTTTTCATTAGAATTTCTGCTCAGCTTTTAAAATCTATCAGGTTTCCTGAAAAAGATTGTATGAATGTAATTTTTAGTTTGAATTGTATTTAGTGCAATAAAATATAAAATCAACATACTCACTGCTGTTACAGTATATTTTTTTTTGTTATAAACACAAGCTGATCAGTAAATTCGATAGTGATTTTAAATGTGATGTAAAAATGTATGCTTTGTAACATTTGTAGAATGAATATTTCAAATAAAAATAATTTAGTTAAGTACTTAAAATGAGCTAATAATTATTTTTGAAAAATTCTCAAAATAATATTTAAAATACTTGTATATATAAAATTTTAACTTCTAGTGATAATAACAATCCTTCCTTAATTAAGTTAAACTATCTTAGCTATTTATTATTACATTACTATATGTATTGGCAGTTCGAGGATGCCGCCCAGGGAAAACAGTGCAGATGTCAGAATCTGAGGTACGGGGATTATGCACCAAGTCCAGAGAAATATTCCTACAACAACCAATACTTTTGGAATTGGAAGCACCACTCAAAATTTGTGGTAACTATTAAGATAATTTTTACTATAACCTTTTACACTAATAAAATTATTTGTATTATATCACATCAAATTATGAAATGAAAATATTTATTATAGTTAAGAAAAGAATTTCTTATGTTATTATCATATACATTTGAAAATAAACATGTTTTATAATGCACTTTGCAAAAGTTTATAAAAATATACATGTTATTTGTAATAATTACTCAATTTTAATTATGTAGTTTCATAATTTCACTCCAAACCTTACAACTTAGATAATGTAAGTACTTGACTAACTCAAAGTAACATATTTTGTTGCATGATGGAATCCTATAAGAAAAACTATCTCAATCAGATAAGCTACATTGATCAGTTTCTTGCATGAAAATAAATAATCAGAAAGACTGAAGTAATATGGCCTTCATTATTATTCAAACCAAAATGTCAATAACAATTAAAATGAGACTTCAGTTTGATTTATTTTGTCAATGGTATCCATTTTTTTTCAGTAACCAAGAAAACAACAATTTTATCATAGTTAATTTACATGTTAATTACTTTTTTACAGACTAAATAGTTTCACTTAACACTGCACTCTATAAATTATAACAACATTGGCAATTATATGGCCATTTTGTTTTTATATCTGTGTAGCTTAAATATATGTTAATACATATTGCATATACATTTGTTTCCCTGGAATTTAAACCTTGTCCCTAGACTATTGACTACTCTCTACGTCAACTATGTATTATACATAAGTGTTTTTTTTGTGTGCCTTGTGTTGATGAGCCTTAAAAAATTATCAATGAAGCAGACATGGAATTATATCTACCCTGTGCTCAATCGGGTTATTAGTTTTAAAGGCCTGTAACCTAAGCCTACTGATGTTGTAGGTGCTCACAAGCATGGGCATTAAATTTTCTATTTAAAATGAAATATTTGTCTGAATATGTTAGAGATTGGATAATAAGTATAACATGAAATAAAAATGTTAATTGTTATTTCAGGTGATATCCATGGACAATACACAGATCTGTTGCGTCTGTTTGAGTATGGCGGTTTCCCGCCCGAAGCAAACTATCTATTTTTGGGCGATTACGTAGATCGCGGCAAACAGTCTCTCGAAACCATATGCCTGTTACTTGCTTATAAAATCAAGTATCCAGAGAATTTTTTTTACTGCGCGGTAACCATGAGTGCGCGAGCATAAATCGTATTTATGGTAACTATTTGTTTATTCTAGCTGTATAAAGATAACATTTTAAGTACTAAAAAAGCTTTCCATATGCCCAGGGAGTATTCTCGCCTCCGAACAATCCAATGAGCCTATTTGAGATCAAATACTACACTTTATAATAATATATGTACCATAAATAGAATTTAATTATTTCAGGATTTTATGATGAATGCAAGCGCCGGTACAATATAAAACTGTGGAAGACATTCACAGACTGCTTCAACTGTCTACCTATTGCTGCTATTATTGATGAGAAGATATTCTGCTGTCATGGTGGACTTTCACCAGACCTTCAGGGCATGGAGCAGATCAGACGGATTATGAGACCCACAGATGTGCCTGATACTGGTAAGAATATTTCACCCATAAAATACTTATCACATGTATCCAAATCTGTTTGCCTTAGGATGAATGTTTGTGATATTATTTTGCAATCAGATTTTAATTACACATTGTGAATGGAGATAACCTACTTGTTTTAATTTTTTTTTATTTCTTGGACTGTGTTGTGTATTCATTTGTGGATATTTTTTTAAATCTAGTAAATTTCATGTTATAACATATCAATAATGTGCCAAAGCTTCAAAGCAGGTACTTCAGAAGGCGACATTTTCCGCCGTTACTTCATGTGCCCACAGCTAGGACTAACCTTCTAAAAGGGCACATATGATTTGCTCTATTACTTTAGTTAGAAAATTACATAGGGTATTTACTGTCTGTTGAGAAACTGACAAAAGTTAAGTATTACTTGTTAGTGCCTATAGTTATGTAATTTCTTATACTACTTGTTTCATGTGTAAATTTATTTTCATTGGTTTGTGGACACTATTGTTTTTTTTATTACATATTATAAATAAATGAATATTTTGTTATAAATAAATGTAACAACAATTATCTTCTTGCAGGATTACTTTGTGACTTGCTGTGGTCAGATCCCGATAAGGATGTGCAAGGGTGGGGTGAGAATGACCGCGGTGTATCATTCACATTTGGTCCAGATGTTGTCAGCAAATTCCTCAACAGACATGATTTGGACTTGATCTGTAGAGCTCATCAGGTAACTTATGAAGATGTTTTAACCTTATACATACTTAAATATATTTTCATGATATTAAATTGTAGATATATAGTTTAACTTATGACAGTATACTGTTATATTAACTTATTGTATGGTATATACACCATTGTCTTGATTTACAATTTTTTAATTAATTGATTTTGAAAATGTAATTAACAGATTATATGTAAAAACGAATCAGTAATTTTACATAATGTTTAAGCTTTTGACTGTGTGAATTTTGGATCTGTCTATCACAAACTAAATCTACTCTTATTGCACTCTTTTAACCTAAGCATTGTTTCTTTCTGTTGAATTGTGTTTATGTGGTGATTAAACAGAGACACATGAGTACTTTAGTTAAAATGGTGCAATTTATTCTTAGTTTTGTGGAATAAGTGGATAATGCTCATTTGTTTTCTTAACTACCTTAACAAAATATACTATTATCTTAAACTTATAATATAAACTAGACCAAATAATTTTTTACAATCCATTCCAGTGTTGTAATAAGAAAAATAGATTTTATAATAATATAGTAACAATAATCAAGGTTTTATATTTGTTAGGTGGTTGAAGATGGCTATGAATTCTTTGCCAAACGACAATTAGTAACACTCTTCTCAGCTCCTAACTATTGTGGTGAATTTGACAATGCTGGTGGTATGATGTCTGTGGACGAGACACTTATGTGCTCTTTTCAGGTTTGTTTTTTAATTTTTGTATCAGTAGCTATAACCAGAACCAATTCAAATGGCTATTATCACATAAATTTTAATTTTAATGAAAGTTTTAATATGGATATAAATTCTGTGACATAATACATAAATTATTATGTACCAACAATGCATCTTTTCATCATCACTTGCATATATACTATAATTACAACTATTAATTAGGTTGGTGTAAGACTTCTTATACAATTTAGAAATTATGAAACAGATACTGAAACCATCTGAGAAGAAAGCTAAATATCAGTACAATGGCATCAACAGCGGGAGGCCGGCCACGCCTCAGCGGTCGCCGCCCAAAAAGAAATAACTGACGTTTGGGATCCAGTGTGCTGCACAGTGAGAAGGATGCTACAAATAATTTTATTGTATTATAATATTATATTGCAATCCTAAGACAAGGCCGAAATTTGTATAGTAAATTATTTTTCCACTTTATGTGCCTTTATTTTGAGAATGAACTACTCTTTTTTGATCAAGTTCGGCGGTGTCTCTCGATTGCAGCTTTTTCGGTCCCTTATGCAAGCCTTTCCTCTTCTTTGACTCATCGTAGGAAAATTTAGTGAAAGTGGCAGATGCGGGCATTGGACAAGCGTTGAGGCATTTTAGATTTAGCTTTTAGTGGATCGAAGACGTTTGAGTTTCTTATTCTGTAACTAATGTGCCTATAATGTAAAGTATAATAGGTCTTAAGTAAAATTGGTTGATTAAAACAAAAATTATAAGTTTTTACGACAAAGTTTTCTAAAAACTGCTGTCGTTCTAAATTATATTTCGTGTTATCTTTTATTTGGACAAATTGAAAGGAGGAGCTGGCCTAAGAAATGATATTAATCTTCATCAGTAGCTAATAAGTTTATTTAAAAAGGGCTTTGCAATTTCATAGGAGTTTGCTGACGTCCCCAGTGAAATTTATGTTACTTGTCATGCAGTATTACTTTACAATAAGTAGATATTTCAAAATTATTGGCTAATTAGCAAAACTCCTCAAGAGGCTTTATCTTCATGTCCATTACTTTATATAAATTATTGCTGTAGAAAGCAGTGTAGTCCTCGCAACAATAGTGCAATTGCTATATATAAAAAATTATATGCAGGTTTTGCATTGTACAATTTATTGTTTTGCTATGTTAACAATGTCAATAATTATTAATCATTAATAAATATTACTTTATAAAAATCAGATGTTTATTTTTGTTTTATTTAGTTGCATTAAACCATGTGCTTTATCCAAGATTTATACTAGGTGTATTCAATGTCAAAATCAACTATGTATAATATGTGTAAGAAATTAAAGTATCTATTTAAAAGTCTATATTATAGGATATAAAATAATATAATTTTTATTGATATTATTTGCTTATAAAACACTGCAGTAGCTCTTGTGCAATTTGCTTTGAAGTATTGAAACACTTACACATTTCTTCACAATTGTAACACAAAGTACTAATTGATGTTAATTTGATTTAGAATAAGGTAAATTTTTGTTATGTTTCTCAAGTGTGTACATTTTTTTCTGAAATATAAATTTTATTGAATATTCCATTCTTACTCCACATCCTTTTGGGTATTACTTAACCATACATCATTATCAAACTTTGGTATTATCTCTTCTCCCAATGCAGTATGAGTTTGAATCTTCTCACATATTTTAGACATAACTTCTTCAACATTCTTTTCATATTTTTGAATATCCATTGTGACAGCTTTGAGATATTGTCTTTTAGCCTGAACTGTCTTCTGTAACTTGTTTACTTTCTCATCATACTCTTTTAATAATGACTCTAGCAATGCTTTTTGATTTCTTAAAATGCCAGCATCTAAAGCTCTTAATTGATTTTTAACACTATCATGCTGGGGTCGCCTAAAACAGATTTAATAAAAACAAATATAAAATAGTAAAAACATTTGTTGGAATAGAACTATAGTTTTATTAAAAGATGAACCATTGCAACATTTTGATTGAATTTAGAAATAAATTCATAGTTGACAGTATTTTCCAAATAAAGTTTTTATAGTTTAAATCTTAACTACATTAGTATTTCAGTTTAGTCAATTGCCAGAAAAATATTTATTTAAAAGTCATATCATGTGATATTTAGTAAATTATTTTATATACTTCATAATAAAATGGTTTCTCACGCACTTTCAACCAATACCAAACTGTTTCAACTGTGGTACTAAAACATACATTGGTATTCTGCCTAATATAAGGGATATATACAATTACCAAGCAGAGTTATGAGGGTTGATTTCTGCATATTTTTCTCTCTGTGTTTCAAGTATCTCTAACTTTTGATGCATATCTTCAGTACTCCACATTTTATTCATTTCTCTAACCATCATGTCTAAAATGTCTTGTTTAATACATCGGAATACTGATATCCAACGAACACTTTCAATTTTTTCTTTAGGTACAGTTGCCAGAAATTCTTCATCACTAAAATAATAAATAAAAATTTGATATAATTATGTTTAAGTATATAGAATTCATATTAATATAAAAAGATATTATTATTTTTAAATCACCTTAAGCTACTTGATATATTAGAGAATTCTCTTAAAATAAAAAGATTGTCAAATGTACTCTGGAAAACACTTGCATCGCCGTCTTCAATAATATTTTCATTTTCCATATTTGTCCTAAACCTTTGAGAATTTTTATTGATTCGTAAACGTCTACACACTAACACTAAACTAATTGCAATTCACAAAATTTAAAAGAGCGTTTGTACTTTGTTAATAATTGTTTATGTATGTCCGTTAAATATTAATATATTTTAAATTTTATTTTGACATTGATAGCAACAATTGACATCTAGCCGAATCCACACATAAACCCGCAAATTGCTGATGCGCCTGGCCGACATTTTGTAAAATTTTGTTTACTTGCCCAGGCGCCATTTTCTGCGTCATTCGTGCACAGACCGTAGTCATACGCGTAGTCTAAAGTCTTTACTTCATTTACTGTTTTAAAACCAATGACAAACGAAGGCGCCATCATTTTGCGTTTTTATTTAGCCTAGCGTTTTAATACTTTATATAGCTTGGAATAATATAGGTTTTACTTATTAAATTTTAACATTGTCAGTTTCTAATATGTACTTTATTTTATATTAGTCTCTTAAAGGTCTAGGCTCCAAATCTCACTCCTATACGGCTTGTAGCATTATTATACAACACAAGTGCAAAAAAATTACAGTTATTATGAAGGTAATTAAACTTAATTTAAATTATTCATTCTACTTTGCAAAACGACAGATTTTTAAAAAAATATTAGACGTTACTCTAAATATTATGCCGAAAGTTATGGTAATTTCAACACTCTTCAGGTGAACATGGATGATAGGTTCTACACCTATTATGTAGGTATACGATGTGCACAGAACTGACATTTTCCCCCCAATTTTATAAATGCCCGAATCCCGGTTTAGGAATACTTAATAACCTACAACCAAAATGTTATTCGGCATTTTTTATTGTATTTTTATTGTATGTATTAATATTCTTATGGATCTTTATTGTGTTTATTAAATATTTTTATTTCGATTCAGTAGGGATTTAGTTAGATTAAACATGATATAAGTATATACGCATGCATGAATTGACAGCTAATCATTTAGATACCTATTGGTAGAGTCCTTTTCATGAAAGAAGTCCCGCGGAGATTTATGGAACTAAATTTGACAGGTCGGCCATGTTGTCGTTCGTCGATGTTCGTCGACGAACTTGATGTTCGTTTGTTGTGGTAGATTTTTGTGAGTTTTCAACTAGCTTAGTGCATTTTATAGATTGTTTACAATGCCAAAAGTTGTAAAAAGTTGGGCTTGAGAAATTATATTAAAGATGAAAGAGTTCTGTGAAGCGGAACAAAAGAATCAAGGTGTTTTAATACCACTAAACAATGTTCGGAAGAGAGTCGCCGCCATAACAGGTACTTTTTAGAGTTGCCACATAATATTTTTTTGCTGTATTGATGGGACTTTAATGATATAAATTCATTTTTGCGACAAAATTGAACAAATACATAACGAATGAAACTAGGTAACTGAAATTAAAACATATATTACTTAAAAAAAAAATCAAAAATCATTTAATCATGTAGGTAACATATTGTACACTTATGACTTGCCAGTAAAGAAATTCTATGTATGAAATTCTAATGCTTCTAATTTTACATTTAGTGCCAGTTCTCAAATCAAGGGCGTAGAACGGAAGAGAAGAACTGGCAATAAACTCTCCGCCACTCTTTTTAATCGCCATTTTTTTTTTACACAACGTTTGTAAGGAGCTGCAACCATTAAACCATGTTCCACATGACATCTTAAGTAATTAATAATAATAACAAAAATTAAAAACAAAGAGTTGTCCTCTATCAGCAGGAGGCATGGTGAAATAAGAGCACGCACTTACATTCACGTGGGAACAACACGCAAACAAATAGTCGAAATAATTAACATCACCGCATACACGAATTCAAGTACGACCAGTCACCACAAGTAGCACCCGTTCACGAGTATGACGCATGGCCAGCCATCGGCCATAGTACATAAGCATTATAAACTTAAAGTTACTATAATTTTTAATTGTTCATTATTTAAATGTAGGTGTGTCAGAGAGAACTGTAACAAGAATTACAAATGAAGGTATAACAGCGGCGAGTACTTCGAAAAAAATTGTCACCCCGTGGAAGAGTCGCCCGCATTCGAAATAGTATCAATATAAAAAAGAACAATTATATCTACGGCTAGTGATACTGAAACAGATTCTGATTCTGTTTCCATCCACTCTTCAGACAGTGATGTTCCTATGACCGCTGATCTAAAATTATTCAATAAAACTGAATAAAAAATTGTAATGCTTTTCTTTATCCTATTTTCTCATCTTATCCCTGTAAGTAGGTAGAAGACCGCTTATATAAGTAAATAAAAATATACTTTTTACATAACAGAAATATTGTTTCATCGAAGTATTTGATAAATTAAATATGCTAAATGTGAAATAGGTAAATTTTTACTCACAAATGGCAACATTACGTCACGCGATTACAGCGCTGCGTCTGGGGGACTTCTTTCATGAAAAGGACTATAGGTATAAATCTTATAACCACAGGCTAAGCGATTTTTTTAATAACCTTTGGCGTGACTGATGACTAAGTACGGTCCTAATAAAAACTGTTTTAGCTGTACAAGATTCTCAAGGGGATAAAGAGTGGGATTGGGATTCTACCCAAGCATACGATCGATTAGGAAATTGTTTGGAACAGGGAAGTGCATACGTAGTAGGCCTAGTGTAACTGCTATAGATATTGCATTGTACCCACCTTACGAAAGCATTGAGAATTGGCCACGAATAAAGGCGGAGAGCAAAAAAATCATCGAACCAGCCCAGAAGATAGCGTCAGCCGATAACAGGAAGATTACCCAGACTTCACTGTCTAACTAAGAATGATTTAAATGTACTTATTTAGTTTACAATAATATAGGATACAAGGTAAAATAAATAATGACTCATTTTATTCAACTTTTATTATTTTTTTGTGTTTGTACATAAAAATATTTAAATATAATAATAAAAACAATTACTTAACAAAGTTTGTGACTGTGGCAGTAACTATGTTATTGCAGTCTTTGATATTAAAATATTTTGGATGGAAATTATGTGTTTGGTGTAACAATTTTTCGTGCTGTGTTCACAATATTTATAATTTACACGACATTAAATAGTGGCTTCGTTGACCGGCCGTTAAAAAGCAGTAGCTGAAAAAATTAAATAAAATTATTAACTGAAAATATATTGTAAAATTAACCCGAAATGGTGGAAACCTTATTTCATAGTAATATATTACAAATACTATTCTGAGAGTAAGAGGAGCCTAATTACTAACAACGCTGATACTATATTATCTACATAAATCTAACTTGAATAGCGATTCCAACATCAATATTGGGTTTTTGTGCGACACAATTCTATTTTTGCGACATCAAGGCTATGCATATCAAAAAGACCTCATATTTATATCGCAATTAAGTACAAAACCTTAATTATAACGACGGGATTGCATATTTACGGAAGTATTTTTTGTACTCAGATTAAATAACTTAGCAATTATTTTCTTACTTTGTCCTTAATACTCTTGTGTCAGGTATAACTGTTAACGTAAAATTGTAAAAACCGTTAGATTATAATCTAGATACTTCGAGATTGTGAACCTGGTACGCTTCAATTTGTATTCGGAGATTGTAATCTTCGGTGACACCGTCATTGTGAAAAAAAAAAAAAATTTTATAAGGGGGAAAAAGGGGGGGGACATTCCCGTTTTCTATTGTAAAGTGATGTGACATTCTCGGTAAATTAATCGGATCGATTATTTCCTCATTTGTTAATTTTAAATTTAAACCTAATTTAACCATAACATTAACTTCATGTTCACCCACTAAAAGGGGGGGGGGGGGAAAAAAAATTTTAAATTTTTAAAAAGTACCCAAAACCGAATCAGAGCACCCCACTATCCACGTGGTCTTGTCTGCCCTACCCCTAGAGTGTATATAAAAAAATCGGTCACATCACTTATAAGTTATAACCAATAGAAAAGTAGAAAATGGCCGTTTCACAATTTGTCGGTTTCACTTCGACAGATTACAATCTACCGAATAATAATACGTTAAACGTTGTAAGCGGTACGTTGAGTTCACAATCTTTCGACAGTTTACAATCTCGCGAGATAGATTACAATCTAACGGTGTTTACAATTTTACGGTGACATAACTAAAACCGAATAAAATAATAATAAAACTAATCGACATAAATTTAAAATTACAATATCAATAATAATTGTTTTTTCGTGCATCTTACTGTCAATTAGACATTTATCTTAGAAACAATTGAAAGTAAATTGTAGTTAGTAAATAGGTTAGTATTTTTTAGAATTTTATATTGTAGTTCCAAATGTGATGTACGTTTTATTTTATAAGTGAGACATTATATGATGGAGATTATTAGTGAAGGTACCATTAACTATGTGAAGATGAAAAATAAAAGTATATACAGGTTTTTATGAATATATTTTTTATGAACTGAAAGTAAATATCGCAAGAACACAGAAAATAGATGAAAATATTGAATAAGAAAGTAATGAATATCAAAGCATCCTCCATATTAATCGGTAACATTCAACAAAGGGACCAACATCTGACAACGATCTAGCTACTCGGGGTCCAAATTTACCTATAGAACATACCCCATGTTCACATTCTATAGACTACGAACAAATGGCATTGTCTTGCTTAGATCGTCCACAGTGAACATGTCAGCCATCATTAAATCTGCCGTGATGAGAGAATAGCATTAAATAAAACAATATATTGTTAGAATAGAAGATAGAAGGCGATATACAGCTCACAGTGCGTCGACGGCCACTAACCTAAGGGCCTGATGGGATGTTTGTCCCAAAGGAAGGTGCGTTTCACTGGAGACAAGTAGGAGTCGCGGATGTAGGAAGGGCTGCGGTCCCATCTCGCCATGGGCCTCAGCTCAGGCCAATCGTACCAGAAAGGATCCCTCGTGATCGCGGTAATGGGCAGAGATGGGCTTGGGTTGAAAATGTTAGCCCACGGCCTGCGCCGTAGTCCGCCAGCACTGTACAGCGGGGCACCTATAGTGTATACTAATTAATTTCAGGCAACCATCTCTTCGTCAGCGCGCTTATTTAACCACAAAGCAATTACAAGCATCAAATGTTATTTCAGCTAGTTTTTTCTATAGTTCTACATAATTAGAATTCTACATTAAAATTATGGATCTTCTTATCAAAGATTGTTATTGTGAAGCTCATTTAAATTCTAAAAGCATAATTTTAAATTAGTTGTGTAAGTCAAAACTAAAAATCACTCAAATGGTTGTTAGCAGTAACACGTATTTTAGCGTGCATTGTTTATGAACATGTACACTCAAAGGAATAAGATGTGAATGTAGACGTCTTTACTCCAATTCACCAATTTGTATAGAGCTAACTACTTTTTGAAAAACAGATTAGATTTGTAGACAAGAGACAAGAATTTGAGGGTTGTGACGAAGAGATAGGGCCCTTACCATCTGAATCAAAAGCAACCTCGCAGTCACGTGTAGGACTTATCCGGGGCTTCACGGGTGTAGGTGATTTTCCTCGTAGGGACCGATCGAAACCTGCCCATTTTTCGGCATCAGCGAAAAATGGATCCTTAGCGAACTCATCCGACAACCGCGATGGCCAAGATCCTTCATTGAAGTCTCATGGTCAGTACCACTCGAATGGGACGATTAATAAATATAGAGTGTACTGTTCGATGCGTTAAACATTCCCAATAATGTTCTCTTGCGTATTTACAATGCAGTTCATGCACGTAACATGAGTTTGTTAGCAGTGGCGTAACAATTGGGCGGGTATTCTTATAGTAGTTCAAGCCTCAAGGAAACAACAACCCTGCTCCCAACATAAGACTAGGAATACTATACGGCTCCACCCAATAACAGCCATCCACATTAGGAGTAAATTAAATTACACCACCGCTTGACAGAATTTTTCGTGAAGAATTTAGAGATATGGTAATGCAAATGAGAGGAAGGTACTAAACTACTAAATTAAACACGATATTTTTGTCTTTTATATTTTAATAAAAAATGGTTGGTTAGTTGTATGTAAATAAATTTGTACTCGGTATATAACAACTTACATATATTCAGTAAATTAATAGTAACATCTCAATTATTGCTGAGGGTACCAGCACCATTTAAAAAATTAAGGCTTTAATTTAAAATTATTTCTTAATCTTGAATTATAAAAGAGATATTCTATTAGAGACTGAACGGTATACAAATTTTGTTCAGAAAATTTAAAAAAAGCATTTTAAAGATTTTAAATATAAATATAATAGATAGGCAAGTTCACGCACAGAAAAATTCATTACGAGAGAATTTCGTGGTGAGCATTGACTATTACTTTAGAAATCTAAATACATAATTTATCTCGTGTCTCGCTTCGGCAGGAATGTATCCAAAATAAAATTGATCCTTTTCATTTTCCATTGGACGCATTCAAAACCTAATCGCACCACGGATCTAATAACTTGAAACAACCCATTCGCTAGTCTTTTTGAGACACCGAAAAAGACAAAATAAACGAACGACGTAGCTCCAATAGTCCATTCCACGAGATCCTATTTACATTCAAGGCAGGGCCACCACAAACTATGTTGCATATGTTTTCCTAATAGCTATAATGTTAATAGTTTCCCGTGAGTTGAACTTAATCTGTAGCAAAAATTGTCGTGCATAAATTAAAATTTACCTGTTCCCCAGTGGGGTTTGTTGTCGGGTTCATATTCGATGCCTTTAAGGCTCTTGGGGTTCAAGGGGTCGACAATGGGGGCGCTCAGGTCAGTGATGGGGTAAGCCCTGTCCTTCAGGTAGAGGCCGTAACGGGATGGGTACAGACGGTCGATAGCGGCCAGTCTGTCCAAATGGTCTTGCCAAGCCTTGTGCGAGTCGAAGGGGTCTACGCCACGTCGGGTGCGCCTGGGCACGTGGTAGACTACACGAAAAAATACAAAAGTTATATTTAAGAATATAAGATATAATTTGGAAATACGAATTAAAAAACACGGTCCTTTTTAGAGGACTTTTATGTGTAAAAAAATATAATAAATGATAAATCTAAATGTCAAACTTGAAACATTGGTAAAATAAATAAAGATTGCAAAAACTAAAGATGTGTAAAAAAACGAAGAGATTTCTATATATATATCTATGCTTAGTTGAAAAGTGTTAAGATAACGTTAGATTGCGTAGCAAGCTTTAGTAATGATTGTATTGTAATTTATAAATATTTTTCATAGAACTCACCTCTTAGCAGCAGACTTGATAACCCTGATTCACACAAACCTTACTTTGAAATAAACTTTTAGGCTCACTTCAGAGTAAGGAATGATAAAAATGAATCAGAATTGAAGGGGGAATGAATAAATTAACAAATGTGACCTGGGGAAGGCTTGAAGATTTAATGAAATTTAATTATTATTGATAAATAAACTAACTTCAAAACGTAAGGTGCAACTGTGATATGGCATCCAAATTAAAAAAATCCAAAAGTATAGATAGATAGTCTTGCCAAGACAAATAAATAAATAAATAGGTATATCAACATTCTGATATATACTGTTTCTATTCGATAGTATTGTTTTCTTTCATTTGAGTTTTCAAACCGAAAGTTTTATTTTCAGGATATCTAATTTAAGACTGGGGTATTAATTTACACCAAAACCAAATTTAAAATCTTTCTCCTATTTTGAAGTCAGTTTTAATTATAACAAGTGTAGATGATTTCATGTAGAGGTGACTAATAATGTTCCATGCTGTTATGCTGTGACTAGCAAGCAGATATATGACTAAACACATTTATGCTCGATATAATGTAATGATCGTTGGTAATAGAAGGACTAGAGTCCTAGGTAAAAATATTTTGTGGCAAGTGTGACTCTCAGTGTAGGAATGTGAATAGCTCACGATTGTTCATGACCATACAACTTGGTAGATCACCTTTGTCGCAGAATTGTTTTACCTAAGACCTCTGGACACAAAACCTTGATGTTCATTGATTTGATTAAATAATATTTATAGTATTGTCTTTGATTTACATAACCTTTACACATTTAAAGAAAAAACGGTCACGGTGACCACGCACGCTGTAAAGCACGCGAAACGTCGGATAAATTTAAAATTATGTTAAATAGTTGTAAATTTATAATAATACATAACTTCAATCCGGTTAAACAGTTTTTTCTTTAAATAATATTTAATGAACGTGTTTTTGCGTAGTCAGCGCGTGTATGTGAGACATTAACTGTTTGATAAATCTTCGAGCGTTCTACCGGTCTCACTTAAAACTTAAGCGTATGGCTTTATTTAAAAAATACAACTTATCATTACATGACATTGGATAGCTTAAGCAATAGTAATAATATACATAGTTTTAAGTACATATGAATGTTTATTTAAGCATATTCAATATGCAGAATTAGGAAGGATAAACGGCTCCGGCTTTTGACGCTGAAACAATCAAAATAATGATGCCGTAACATTAAATTAAAATGTAAAGTACTATACACTTAACTATTTTGAATTATATACGTCTGAATATATACAAGTTAAATTTAATAGGGGTTTAAATGAGTTACAAATAATGTTGCAAGAATGCGGTATCAAATTTCGAGCAGCTTAGGGCAATATCGTTACTAACTTGGCCTGTAGGCTTCGATTGAGCGAGGGTAGTTGTGCGCGTAGATAGGCCTCGGGGAGTAGCCGTAGGTTTCACGGTGGACAGGCAGGTAACGGTATCCAGGGACTGTGATCCTCTCTGCAGCACCTACGGGGTCATCGTAGATGGATTTGCTGTAGGGGTAGGTTGAGAGGAGCTCAGGGAAAACGCTGCGGCGGCTTGGCCTGTATCTCTCTTCAGCCCTGATGTCTTCAGATCCTGTTGGAAATGAAGATCAATGTATAAGATACACTAAAACAGATTTATTTGAAATACTAAAATCTCATGTCACGTTCGGATTTATTCATAATATTGTAAGAGATGATAAAAATGGAAGAGTACAGATTTTGTTGTTCTTTCAAAGTGTTGAAGGTATTTAAAAATAAGCAACTGATTTAAAGAAACACAGGTGTGTCATAGTATAAGAAGATTATACCTTTTAGAGATCGTACGTAAGACTGCCAGAACCTGGCCTTCTTCGATGGCGACTCATTTCTCCCAATCATTTCTAAATGGTTTTTAAACATTTTGACGGCTTTGTCGTGCTCGTTTCTGCAACAATACAATTACAAATTACTTTCGTACAATACTTTATGGTTATCAGGTGACATAATACAATGACTACGTAAATAGAGCAATGACGTAGGTGAACGCTAGGAATAGCAGTCTCGATGGCTAGGTGCCGTGGCGAATGGCCCATGGACTTGGCCAATCGCCAATTTAAGTAGTGACGACTAAAATGCTCGTTTTCACAAATGATGATTCTCGGGCTATTTTCAAGTTTTCAGCGACCTTGTTACTATTTCTTGGGCTTACAGTTATCGACTGAAGATTCAAGGTTTTAAAAAATTCCATTTGAATTTTAAAAGTTTTTTTATTGTATTGTTATTTAATCATACATTATGTTTTATTTAATTTGATTGAAAACAGTTGCATCAAAGAATTATTTAGAAGTGGGACCTAGCCTTGCTATTATCATATTAATATCCGCGCATTTGCGTCAATAATCTATTCCTGGAAAGCAGAAGCTTCATTCATCAAATTCCGGACGTAAGATCGACAGCTGTATTTTCACGTTATTAATAATTGGCATAATTACTATTAGCAAGAATATTGATTTCACGTGTACTGTAAGTGTTAGAGTATAGATCACATTATTAATCTTGTCATCAATCTAGAAACGTCCAATATTACCGTACAATATATTTTACTAACATTAAGTAAACTTGACATTAAAAATTATTCATCATGCTATATCCGGTTCGAGAATGAAGGTTAATGACTGATTTGTCTTATTTTCGACTTATTTAGAATATAGTGAATGTCAAGTAAGTGGAGATGTAAAAAATGCGATTGTGAAACCGTACAAAAATACTTGAAGACGCGTCGATAGGTGGATATTGCAAATTTGGCTCGGCGTGTGCGGCCAAAAATAGCCGCGCGGTGGCCGGATCGTATTCACAGCATTCAAATGTTAGCCGCTGACACATTACTGACGTCGCACTTAAAACAACACAAATTACACTAAACATTTCTTGTATGTATGTAAATACATTATAAAATTATAATGAACATTATATCTATAAATTTTAACCAAAAACTGATCGAACGCGTTGTCTAATCATCGCTTGATGTATCTGCTTTGATTGTTATTAGGTTAAAAAAATGCTTAAATTTTGTAAGTCAAGATTAGATAAATCTACGTGGAAAGATTAGACTAAATTGAAATGTAACTTTATTTATTAGTTTATTTATTTATTTTATAATAAATAAATGCCTCAGTTATAAAAACATAATTTACTTTGAGTCAATAACTTTATTAAAATCGATTGTCAATTATTTATTACTCTGCCACTGTATAAAAATCACTTGTCAGTTATGTCATCGTACAACTTACGTGCAGTCGAACCCCCTAAAGAGGCAATACAAATTACACCTAAAGCTAGATAAAACACTGAAGCCACAATGAGGTTGTGTACACTTGCACGAGGGATCACTAGATCTTACCGATTAAATAATGATCGTTATTAGCGGGTGTGTGGTGTGACGAGCCGACGTCGAGTGTCGGACCTGGGCGGGCGCGCACTGGCGCACAAGGGCGGCGGCGCCCAACCATTTCGCCCGCCCCCGCTATTACAGTAAACATTTCATTTTATACTTTTTCTACTAAATTTACTGTCAGACATTGTTCATCAATGTCTTTGTTGTCTAGTATCTTTTATCTGAATAAGTATTAATGCTTAATACTTTTAAAACAAATATATAACACTAAACTCGTTGCAATAAGATTTTCCGTTTCTAAATTACTAATTTTGTAAGAGAAAACAAGACATCATTATAATCATACATATCTTGTACATATAATAGTAAAGTATTTCATTAAAAATAATTATTAATACATAGAGATGATTCATCGTTAGTAAAATTTGATAAATAAACCCACCTACAATGAATGAGTGTACAGTGGAAATAAGTTTCACCTGAGTAATTTGGTCAAATTTATGAAGTACCTACTTTAATATTTGGCGTGGAGATGAATTATGAAAGTTGTTTTTCTTACAAATTTATATACTATCTATTATGATATTATTTAGTGATAGATATTATAGATATGTGTTTGAAATAAGTCTTCTGTCTAAGATACCTCACACATGTCTTGATTATGATGTTTTTTGTATAAATTTAATTATTGTAGCTATTTTAATAATATTTGATCTTATAGCAGTATAGAAGTATGTAAAATTCTTAAAATAATTCCTTTTGAATATGAATATAATATACGAGTAAAATAACAAGTATACAAACAAATGTTACAAAAAACGTTTGCAGTGAAACGTTTTTGAATTCATGTACAAAAAAAAATATTGGTTATCTTTCAACTTCTTTGAGAACGGGTCATAAATCTGTCAAAAGTAAGGTCAGAATGTGTTTCCCAAAACCGGATGTTGTTGAAAGTTATATTTATATTATTCTATCACCGCTACGTGCCAATTATAAATGTGTGGTGTTATTAAAATATAAGCAGTCGAGTATAGATGCTACGTGATTGCTACGGAGCTACGAAGGAACAATTCTTAGAAACTGAAATGTGAAATTTATCAAATACCTAAGAGGTTTCATATAAAACTTGATATATTTTATCTACCGCTAATACTTTTCCAATTTAATTGATATTAATTCTAACAGATGGTGTATTGTAACTTAAATAATTGCAAATGATATAAAATACGCCTCTAGTTCGTGTTTTTAAGAGGTTTTATATTTGTATATCTGTACACTATCAAATGCAGTACATGGCTGACTAAAATTAAAATAAACCAGGAATTGCTATCTTAGTTATTTTATAGAAAGCGTCGATCTGTCATTTTCATACAAATATCAATCCAAAAATACCGATTAGTTCTCTCAAAGATGGTTTACAAAAACAGATTGACTGTCGACCCATCGATCGGTTATTGAAAAGTAGTTTATGAGAAATGGATTGAAGTATCACTCTCTAGTAGTAAAAATTGGATTGGGATTGAGTATACAAAGCGGACGTAAGTTCTCATTGAAAAAATAAACAAAAATGGACAAACATTTCAAACAAAGCTTAGTATTAAAAATCTTTTCGCTTTTACCGAAATTTGGATGCAGCAACGGTAGAAGTACGTTATGATAAACAATACTCAACGATTCTGTATCTTTCAAAAATTCTTGCTTTATTTTCTAAAAGAGTTTTATAGATATTTGGCTCGTTATCAACGTTATATTTAGCTGTGCACGCTCAAGATCAGACATTATATCGTAACGACTTTCGAATACTCTGTTACACGTCTCTTGCTAATTACAGTTTAGCTTTATTTTATAGAGACATCAATTATACGTTTCATATGCCATATTTCGCGGTTCACAATAGCAACATGGTAAATTGAGCTTTAACACAGTGATTGGGTGATGTTATATGAGTCTGATGTACCTACGAACCTCTTCGGCCTTTTAAATTGATATTATATCCGAGATCTGAAAATTATTCGAGAATAATATATATTTTTATAGTATAGATGTTACTGTAAAAGCTCGAACTACGGTTAATCTTAAGATTTAAGTGTAAGTCTTAGGATTTACCGACATGAGTTGGTAAATGTAATAATTTCTGAAATAACGACGATTTTTTCGAGCTTTTACCATTCGAATTCAGTATATGCTAGGTTTTACCACTGTCAGCTGGTAGATGTTGGTTTTAGGAATAAAACAATGTGTAATTCTTAATTATTTAGTTTAATGAACTATTAGTCAAAACAGGTACATAGTATTATAAAGGTATCATATGATAGTAATAAGTACAAACTAATACCAACTTACTTAAATTATTTTGAAAAAAACACATAACGTTTATCTCTGAATATCTCACCTACATAAGGTACCTAAAAAAAATATTTCACTTGTTACAACACGGATTTCTATAGTGGCACTTAGAATTAAAAGGTAATCCTGATGATCTGCAGGTGCATTTTTCTGTTTTTCAACATTTACCGTGCCATTAATGTAAATCCTAAGATTTACCAACGGAATGGTGGTAAGAGTTCGAATCGCAAACCTTTTAGGACATTTACCATTAGGAATTGGTATATCTTAGGTTTTACTGGAATATCTTAGGATTTACTGCAGTTCGAGCTTTTACAGTAACATAGACATTCTATAATGTAAAAATTTAGTCTTATTTAGTTATAATAGTTCCTTATACTACTAGTGGGTAGAGACTAATAGTAAGTAGAATATTATTACCTCTGCACCTGATCCTGATTTAGAATTAAATAAACTTAGTATAATGGTTGCTTTAAAATACAGTTTACCCGATGTGAAAACAGAAACTGGTTCGTATACTTAATGTAATGGTGTGAAATTCATTTAGGAACATAGGGCTGACTTATTTTTCCGTTTGTTTCATTGATCATTCTTTAGTACAGGCAAATGGGAAATACTTCTCCCCTTAACACACGTCGTCGACTTCTCGATGTATAAACGGATTAGAAAATATCACGATGAAAATGTTAGGAAACTTTTTTATTCCATCAAATGACAGATAGATCGACAAATTAGTTTGCTAAACTTCGAAAGCACGAGTTCTGATAATCGCACTTAAGCACTAAGCTAATTATAAAAACTACTTTAAAATAACTACTTGCTCACGTACACAATCATATAATTAATAATATTATTCTTAATTTATGATCGACAAAAAGTTCTTACCACAAAATATTTCCGTGAATACATTATATTAAAATATATTAAAGTAATTGTTTTATTTATTGAAAGGTAATACATATAAATTTAAATTGCACCTACGTTTTAGCCCGAATAAACATCATATACCAAAATACTCTATTGTCTTGTGTACAATATTTATTATACAATGTTTAACATCAATTATTTTAACAATAAAATGTAGAATGTTATATTTACATTAGTATCACTTGCCAAACTTGATGACATGAACGAATGGCTTCATTAATATATTATTTTATCACTTATTTGTTTATCGTTA